CGGCTGCATTAAGCATAGACAAACGGATTAGACCTAGTAAAGAAGGGAGCAAGTCTAAAATTTACAAGGACAACTTCATACTTCTAGGCGGCCCAATTGGAGTTTTGGAAGGAGTGGCCGGCTGTTTCTCAGCCGCCGCTTGTTTCCTGGCAGAACCAGGAGAGCTCGCAACAGTCGTCCTCCGGGCCTTGGAGTCCGGCTGTTGGGAAGAAGAAGCTCTTGGAGCGCCCGTCTAAAAAAGAAGAAAAGAGTCAGTATATGCATAAACACAACTCCAAAAAGAGAGTGAAAGGTTCGAAGCCCACCAAGGGTGCCCCCTTGTTGGGGGAGTCGGTTGAAGACTGTTGCATGATGGAGGCCCGCAACATGGCCGCCGCAGTCTTGGAGGCGGTAATTTTGCTCATGGCATCCGCTGCAAAAACAAATAGCAAAGTTAATAAAAGTCATAACAGAAATGCATGGAACAACAGAGTATTCGACAGGCCGGCTACCTCTTGAGCACCGACTGCTGAGGCCACAGGCGGCCAAAAAGTACTCGTCGTAGAGCCATTTGAAGCTCGGGACGCAGTGCAGTGGTACTTGCTCTCGTACCCCTGAAGTAGAGTTCACCTTCGACTCTACTTTGAAGAGTCCTTTATCTAGGATCTCTTTCTTAGCCTTGGGGGGAACAGGCGGCATGCTGCGACCGCCTGCAAGAAGGGGCGGATTCCTGTTCCACCTGTTGAAGCGCTTGTTCAGCTTTGTGTCTGAACTCTCAATGATAAGGAAGGTGCTTCGCCAGTCCTTCCATTTGTTTGCTTTACCTCTTGTCATGAGGTAGCCCCTGTGGCTCGTCAATTGATACCAGCCGGTACCGCCTGCTTTAGGGGTCCGGCTGAGGTAGTTCATGTGGGCGAAAGCCTCGAAGTTCAGCTCCACCCCGTGCAGTTCGCACCCGGCCACATAGCCGAGTACGTTGACCCAGGAGTTCGGGGCTAACTGCCATAACCCCAACTCATACCCATCCAAGATCCGCTGAACAGCCGGATGTAGTGGGAAGCGCAGCCCAGCCTTGATGGCCGCCTCGTAGCAGCCAAAGCAGGCGCCATCATAACTAGTACCAGCCGGCCAGACGACTGTGTCTTCTGGATCCGGCACGAACACTAAAAAGTCGGGGCCCATTGTGTGGTTTGCGATAAAGCTCCCCACTTTTTCTTGCATGGCTGTGATCCGGCCCCGAGGTACCGTGCAGTAGTAGGGGGTATTTTGCTCTCGGTGAGAGGCGGATGGCTCCGCCCAATTGTCCCCCTTCTCAACTGCGTGAGAAAGCCTCGCCTCTTGTAGGCGAATGTTTTTCTCTTCTGTGTCCAGAGAAGCATGGCCAGAAGAGCTAGACTCGGATTCGTCCTCTGACGAGTCCGAAGAGGACGACTCCTCCCCTCTCCCAGAGGGGCCCGCCTCCTCTCCTTTAAAAGGAGCAGGAGAGAATGTAGAATTGTCAACTGTAAAATGGGAAGGGGTCACTTTGACTCCTCCCTCAGAACTGCCGGCTTTCAAGCCGCTTTGTTTCACTTCCACATCTGGCGCCTGGTCAGATGTTTCACTAATCGGCACCCTGTGGGAGGAGCCGTCTGAGTTCGAGATCCTAGACGTCTTTTTTGTTCTGGCCATCATGTTCTGCATAGACACAGATACAGTCGGACTTTGTATAAAGGGCAAAGATGGGTCCAGAAAAGGGCAGGCGGCACTCCTAGTCCTAGATTCAGCCGTCCCCGGTGACCGGCTGATCGCTAACCTAGGTCGTGTCGTGTGCTTCCGTGGTGCCATTTCAAAAAAGAATAAAGTAAAGAGAAAATTAAGAGTAAGAGAACCGACGGTTACCTGAACGAGTGACGATTGATGAAGTTCTGAAAATCCTTTGCAGTCGGCTTGTCAGAGCAGGCGGTAGGCAGAAAGGGTCCAAATGTCAGAGCAAGTTCAGGGGTCCGAATGTTCTCTCACAAAGTTCTCAAGTGTGAAAATGATCGAAGGCAACACTCCCTTATATAGGCGAAGTGAGAAGGTGAAGGGTCACTTCCGGAATTCAAAATTTGGGCGGGAGAATCTCTCGGCCTTTCGCCGAGTGACACCTGTAGCAGGTCGTCGCCTGTTACAGGGCGACACCTGTCACAGGTAACACGTGACCAGTCACGTGCCACCTGTGAGGGGCAAATGATTAGGGGATTTTTCTCCCACCAATCGGAATGCGCCACGTGGGCCAATCAGGTCATGCCAAGTGTCCCCCAGTTGGACCTCTCAGGGCTTGCCACGTGGCACACGCTTATTCGTCCACCCTGGACCTATTATGTCATGACACGTGGCATACTCCATGCCTAATGGAGAAGTCGGCCACCTAGGCCCAACTTCCGAGGGAAGCCCAATCAGCCCAAGGTTAACCTAAACCTAGGATTGGCACGTTTCCCGAGGATTATAAATACCTCCCTTAATCCTCATTAAGGGGGATTACGCAGATTACACACATTAAACACTCTCACCTAGAGAGACTCAATCACTTTAATTTCCGCATTAATTACTCCTTAATCAAGTACTAACTTGACCGTCGGAGGCGGATCTCCAATCATCCGGAGCATCCGTTTGTTTTGCAGGTACAGGCGTCCGGTTCCAGTCTCGGAATTGTAACTTTCCCGCAGGACATCAGAAAACCCCGAAACAATAAGGGTTACCCAAGTTCAAATTACAGCTAAAATAAGTTTTAATAAGTTCAGATAAGTTAATTTAAGTTCACATACATAGGTTCAAATAAGTTCAGTTAAGTTCAGATAAGTGAAAATTAGGTGAACAAAATACATCCTAACTCATTAATCAATAAAATGTCCACTCATACCTTGCTTGATACAAAGTATATTTATTGGTTGTAACTTGTAAAAGACATATAATATAGACGAAATTTGTTGACCAACAAACTAAGCATTGGTATTCACCATTTTTTTTTCCTTTTTTTTTTTTTGTAGGTAAGTTGAACAGTCTTCTCGGATCGGAACCTTTCATTGGTCAATCAGCTCGAGTTCGTGGGTTAGACACTTTGAGAGTAGGGGAAAGATTAAGGGAAATTCCTACCCTTAAAGTGCCATTAGTGGGAATTGAACCCCCAAGCTCGGCTCAAACCATCTAACTATCCACTAGACCAAACTTTGCTTGGTATCCACTACTTGATACGAGTATTTTATATATAGCACAATCCGTCTATGAACATTCCCCTAAATACTGAGTATCACTTATTCTAGAGCAAAATTGTTTAGGGCGAACTTAAAGAAATTGAAAATTATCTCAAAAGATAAGCCGTAAGCCCGTAAATACAAAGCCCCCTTAAATAATGCTAAAAAAAAGGGAAAATTGTAAAAAATAATACAACCTTTGGCCAGTTATTTTTTAATAATACAACTTTTGGATTATTTTGTAATAATATAACCTTTGGGGGTGTTAATTTTAAACAAGATAAAAAAAAAACTTGTTACCTAATAAACAGGTTACCTTTGACACGTGTCATTATGTAATTTGTCTAAACATTAAATTTTGATTTTAAAAAAAATAAAATTGATTACATAAAAAAAAAACCCCCCCTTGCCCCTCCATGTCCAACCCCCTCCCCGCTAGCCGCCGGTGACAAGCCCACCTCCCCACCCCAAGCCTACCTACTCACCGTCTCACCCATCCTTAATCTCCGACCACCGACACTACCCCTGGCCCTACTCTCCTCCACAACCCTACTCTCTTCTTCACACATCATGCCCCCCATCAGATCACCATAAATCACAAATCTCAACAAAATCAATGGTGGAGGGCGAAAATGTTGAAAATTGGTGGCGAATTGCTGAATGGGGATGGCGGATTGGTGGTAATTGGTGGCGTTGGCTGTGATTTGGTGCGCAATTGGGGAATTGGTGATGCGGGTGCGAAGAGAGGGAGTAGCAGCGACTGCTGGTGGCTGCGGTTTGTGAGGTGTGCTGTGTGGGAGTTTTTGGTGGCTGGTGGCAGCGGTTCGTGAGGTGGTTGCTGGTGATAGCGGCTCATTAGTGGAATGGTGGGGTTTGTGGGAATTTTTGGTGGTCTTAGTTGGTTGCGGTGGAATAAGGGCTGTGGGGGTGGAATCGAGGCTGGTTGGTAGGTTATGTGGGAGTTTCGGCCTGGTGGTGGGGGTTGGCTACGGTGGTCGGGAAGGGGAGGGGCCGGTTCTAGTGGTGATGATGGTACGAAGTGGTACAGTGGTGGTGGGGATGGAGATAGAGGGTGGAGCAGTGGTGGTGTTTGGGGAAGGAGAGAGAAAATAAATAAATAAAATGTAAAAAACTTATTTAAGCCAATCATATAGTGACACATGGCTGTGGTAACTTGTTTATCCGGTTGCATCCGATTAGTGTTATTTTAAATTAACACCCTCAAAAGCTATATTATTACAAAATAATCAAAAAGTTGTATTATTAAAAAAAAAATAGCCCAAAGATTGTATTATTAATGACAATTTTTTTAAAAAACACTCCCTACACCAATTTTCTTTTACCGTGTATACAAAAATTAGTCAAAAAGTAGGTTAAAAGTCAAAACGTGTCACTAATATAAGTAGTACTTGTATTTGGTTCGATACTCTTAACCGCACATAAACCAAAAGGTAAGGTGTACTTGACTGGAGTAAATCAGGATGGCCTAACTTTTTATCAATGGGCTCGATCTGGTTCAATCTGGCCTCGTCTGAAGTCTGGAACTACTTTAAGCGACGTCGATGAAGTAACAAAATACTTGTAGAACAAGAAAGTAGTTGACACGTAGAGTCAAACAGACTCAACCAATCACATTTTGCCAAGTCGTTAACACCACTTCCGTCTCCCATTTCCAGCGTGGCACTACTGAAAACCCCAAATCACCCCTAATCAGCTGACAAATTTAGTAATTTATCTTTTCACAAAGGGGTAAAACCGTAATATTCAGCTTTGATCAATATCTAATTTTCTTTTTATAATTATTTTGATTACTCATAACACAAAAAAAAAAAAAAAAAAAAAAACAAATAAATGAAAAATAGCACTTAAAATTTTTAGAAAACTCAAATGTTCAATTTTCTACCGATCTGATCACCGAAAATTGACAAAATCATTACAAATAATTTCGAATATCCGATAAACTCAAAATTCGATGTATTCTTCGTGATAGATTTCGATCATCAGACAATTTTTGTCGATTTTTTGATATAATTTTTTATATAATTTTCGAAAATTTGTAGAGTAATTTTAGTTGGATTCTGCAATGGCTGCTCCATTTTTCAACACTCCTTTCCAACCTTACGTTTACCAGGTAATATTGCTCTCATACTGTTTTATTTTAATTTTATCTTATTAGTTTTGTTGATTTATTTTTTTGCTAGTTAGGGTTTTGGTTTAGGGAAAATCACAAGTTTAATTTGCTGCATTTGATATTTATGGGTGAAATTCTTGCTTAATTCTGTTGGATTTATGTGCAATTTAACTGTATATTGTCAAGTTTACAGTATATGTATAGTTCAAGTGTTCTGTGTATTCCATTGAAAGCGGATTATTCAAATTAACTGGAAATTGTTAAGGTTTGTATAGTATATGAAGAATGCTGCAATTGTTTTGATGCATTGCGCCACGCCTGGAAATGGTGTGTTTAGTTGATGAAGTTTAGGAGATTGAATATGAGCTTCCAATGACTTTGATGATTGATATTAGCCTATTGGCGGTTTCCATGTTTGGTGGTTTCGTTCGGTTGAATGTAGTTCGTTGAATTTTGTCTTTACATTCTTAGCTAGGATTGTAATGAGGCTTATATGTGCTGTTGTTTTTTATGGTTCATAGTTTAACGAAATGCTACATGGTACAGAGTCCGCAAGATGCTGTCACACCTTTTCAGATTCTGGGTGGAGAAGCTCAGATAGTTCAGGTGTCACCAACTATCCATTGAATCTAGCACCCTGTACTTCTAAATTCTGTCAGTTTAGTACATAAGGCTAAATTGTGAACCTTTGTAATGGTTTGTTTATGATCAGATTATGCTGAAGCCACAGGAGAAGGTTATTGCTCGGCCAGGTATGCCTCTGCTATATGTTGCCATTGCTTGCCTAAGTTTGAAAATTCGAGAATTTTTAGTTTTAGCATTTATGTTCCTTCCTTGTAATTGGTAATAACCTTGATGGGGCTGTTGGGGTCTCTTTATGGTGTTCCAACAATGACAATACAGAGTATTCGAATTCCTATTTGTAAATATATGCTATAATTCCTGCCTGATCTTTTTGGCAACACATTATGGTTTCTGGTTTTGGTACACTGTCAGTAGAAGGTAATTGGAGAATAGATGCTGATGTCGTTTGGGTGTTAACCAATTTTTTCAAATTATTTTTGTGTATGCTTGCAGTTTTCATAGTATACTAGCATCTTTTCTTAATATAAATTTTCAAATATGTACCTGTTTATTTTCTAATATTGTACCATCTCTAGCTTACAAATTCTGCATTCCTTCACATGTTTTATTGCTTTATTCATTGACCCGGAGCTTGCTATTATTCAATTATATCTTTTCTGCTGTAAGTTGTCTGGGAAAATAATTTTTGTAGTTTGCAGGATCTATGTGTTATACATCTGGATCTGTTCAAATGGATAATGTTTACATCACCGAACAAGAGGTGGGAGTGTGGCAGTGGATATTTGGGAAGACTGTGACCAGCATTGTTCTTCATAATTCCGGTTCAAGTGATGGATTTGTTGGAGTTGCTGCTCCATCACTTGCAAGAATCCTTCCGGTTGGTCGGCCACATCATGCTTCTTTCTTTATATTGGCAAATTCACAGCAGTTTACTTAACTATAGGTTTTTACTCTCTGTTTTTTATTGCAGATTGATTTGGCTATGTTTGGTGGAGAACTTCGATGCCAGGTAGATCTTATGTTTCCATTCCAGTTTTGGCATTTTGTCTGTGACATGGTCACATTTAGTAACATTAGAGTCCATTGTGTCACAAAATTGTTCTAATCCCCATGTTCTATTCATAATATTTGTAGCCAGATGCGTTTTTGTGCTCAGTAAATGATGTCAAGGTTACTAATGTAACTACTGATCATAGGGCACGTAACGCTGTTGTTGGTGCAGAGGTTAGTCAGTTTTCAACTTGTGTCTCTTTGTTTCAGCTGCTCCCTATACTTGTTCTGTAGCAAATTCATGCACTGATAAATTGATCATGATTTTGCTTCTGAAGGTTTTTTTTGCGGCAGAAGTTGTCCGGACAAGGACTTGCATTCATTATTGGCAGTGGATCAGGTGTGTGTGTGTTTCTTTTTTTTTTTTTTTTTTTTTTTTTTTGTACTTTGTGATTTCAGAAAATGCTATACAATGTTACATACATACATGCACACAGCTATGGATATGGATCAGATATGGACATAGATAATTAGATATAGATGTAGATAGTTTGTTAGTAAGATATAAAGGTCTATAAAATGCAGCTGGATGCTTTTAATAGTCCAAGGATACTGCTGGACATTAGTTAGGGTGTCCTTTTTCAAAACTTTTGCCTTAAGGGTTAGATATTTACATAACTATTGTGTATCATGTGGTTTTCTGCTATTTAAATACTTCTTGATATTCAAGAGTTACAAACTACAAATCCTATGGTATTCAGAGTAATTGATAGTAGGGCTAGTAAGTAGAACTCATTGATGCCTTAGAACTGTACACATGATTTCAAGACTTTATTTACTCTTTCGTAGTGTTGTCTTCTGTCTTAACCTTTTTTTTCAGTAAAAACTTTCAACCTTTTTTTTTTCAGTAAAAACTTTCGATATTGAGTTTTTAACTTTTTATACATTCTGGTCCGTGCCAGTTAGACAACTTTTTAGGATACCTTGTCTCTTCTGGGGTCCAATATATACACAATTATCTCCTTGGAAACAATTTAATGTGTCAAATAGATCATTTTAGATGCATGCAGTGTATCCAGATTTGGCTCATTGTGACTTAGCTTTAAAGTTTAAATTCTGCAGAGCAAGTCTGCAATTTTCTAGCTTTGGATAAAAATGTGTGATATAGAAATGGCTTTTTAAATTGTCTGTGCTTTTTTGAATGGTGAAATATTGCTTGGCTGTTGCATTTCAGCCCAAAGGTCAATTGGAAACTCCCCCCTTCCCTGTTTTCCAATCAATGGAGCCTCTTTAGATGCATTTGGGTAATATTTGATGGTCTTAAATAGGAGGGGTAGCCACATTTTGTCTTGGTGTGGGACTTAGAGAAAAGATATAGAGCTACCAATTGTTCATTGAAACTCTGGGCTAATGGTTAACATATGATGTGAAGTATATTGTGTAAATCCACCCAATGGCTGATCAAGAGTTCAAGACTTCAAATTTGGTAATGGTCAGTTTTTTGTATATGTAGATTGTATTCTTTGTGGTTCCTCATATCATCATATGTCTTTATATATATTTATATTGTTCCTGTAAACCTTTTTTTCAGGGATTATGTACTAGTGCCTACTATTGGCATTGTCTTACTTTGATTGCTACATAGTTGATCCTTTGGTGTCAAATTTATAACTATTTAAGATGTTTTTCTAGTAATAGCGAAATTATAGGCCTATTGGGAATTAGTGGTAGTTTAAGTTAAAATTTTTTTAAAAAAATTACAAGTATAGTAATGTTGTGAAGAGGCATCTTGTTTTTAAAATCTAAAAGCACTGCTTTTTATATTGTATCAAAATATTATTTGTAGTCATCATTAAATGTTTGGAGATTGATTGAGACTGATGAGTGATATGAGGTTTGTGGAGATTGAGGAAAATATGGCATTAGATAGGGTGGAATAGAGGGAGAAAATCTATGCCAAGGACATGTCATGACTTTAAATTTATGTATATTTTTTTATTTTACCTAAACTCATCGTGTTTTGCAAACTCTACTTATTTCTTACGTTAAAGATTTTCTCACACTTTTTCTCTTTTACTCGCTTGTTTTTCCTCTCTTTTATTTCCTCTTATGCCTCTTTCATTAAACTTTCTCAAATTAGCTTCTTGTTATTTTTTCGTGAGTGATTCCCATTATGCTACTGTTTTCGTCTTTAAACATTCATGTCTAGTCCTTTCCCCAAATTCTTTTACATGCATTTTCTTGAAACTGCTTTATGAGCCAGCCCTTTAACAAAAGGAAAAAGCTGTTCGACTATTGAGAAACAGACTCTACTATCTTGTCTAAAGACAAGATGACATGCACATTACTCATGCTATCTTGTCACATGACCTTGAAGTTTCACTTAATGCCTTTGGTCTAATATATGTTGCAACTACCTACTACCTTGGAACAGTCTCACAATTCTCTTTTCTACAGTTGTGCAGAAAAACCTGGAGGTGGGGGAAGTACTTGCAGTTGATGCATCCTGCATCGCTGCCGTGACAACCACTGTCAATGTTGAGGTTAAATATAATGGTCCTATGAGGAGGGGTGTCTTTGGGGTAAGTTTGCCACAATGTTTGCAGGATTTGGTCTGGATGTCTGGAACCTGTATTGTGTGTTTATACCTAGTCCCTGTTTTAGAACAAAATTGCTCTTTTATGTTACTAGTATTATTTTTCTCTGTTGTGGCTCTATTATCCTTATCCTTATGTTTTTTTGTTTTTTTTTTGGAAAGGCATCCTGTTAGTTTTCATCAGTTTCATCATTAGTAGGTCGGCTCCTTTGTATCTTTTGTCAGCACATATTTCTTGTATTTTTTGGCTGATTAAATGGCTGCATATTTGTCTGACTTGATGAGTTGACTGTATGAGTGGCTGGAAGGCCTGGAACCTAATATCAAGAATACTTGCTAGTAGCTTGCCCATGCTTACCTTGTCTAAATATGTAACCGTGTGCTGTGATTGGTACGCACTTTGATATTGTGGTAAATATGATCAAATTTAGCTTATGAGTGGCTGTTGTGACATTGTAGGCAGACAACCTTGTAACTGCTGTTCTAACAGGCCCAGGGATTGTTTTTATCCAGAGCTTGCCCTTTCAAAGACTTTCACAGCGTGTTGCAAGGTAATTGTCTTTCACTTTCAGATGAGATATATCAGAAAATTAAATTGACCGTCTGTTTCTTAAGAGAATCAATATTTATGTTTGGCAGGGCGGTGACAGCACCACATGTGAGAGAAAACCCCAAGTTCTTCATCCAGTTGGCCATTTTCTTCTTTCTGGCTTATGTTGTGATTGTATCATCATTGTTATTGACTGATGTATAACATTAGGCAAGGTTCTCTTCTTCCTTCCGAGTGATCGCTCCCTCTTCCTGATGTCTCCTTAGTTATACATGATTAAATGGCCAGAAGTAGGATAATAGATAAGATGTTATAGATAAAATTTTCAGTTACTGACCCTGCAATCTCTCTGTAACATGGAGTATGAGAGTTGTAGCCAGTTTCCTCTGATTCAGGGAATAGTGAGAGATTACAATGTTTGAAATCTAGTGCACAGTAATACTCATTTTATCGTGCAATTTGAGATTTTGGGTTGATATTTCTTAGATTTGGTATGTCAAGAATAATTTGTTGATAGTATGGAGGTTTTTTTTTTTTTTTTTTTTTTTTTTTTTTTTTTTTGACCAAAGTCTATTTTAAAATAACAAATCAAAAAAAAAAATCAACAGTCAATTCATTGCTTCCACCTCGTTGACAACCTTTGCTTCCTCTCTTTGGTCTTCCTCTTCCGGTTCTACAAAACAAGTCATTGCTGTGGTCGCAACCCGCAACGCATGTTCCGTAGCCAAAGCAACTTTGTCACTTTTGTGTACCCATCAGATGGCAATCCCCCTTCATCTGACTTCTTTCACCAACGAATGTTTAATCGCTACCAATAAATATCTAATCTCAACTAATAGTGTAGATGGTATGACAGTTCGAACAACAGTATTTTGTCAACCTATGAGAGTATAAAAATAATTTTAAATTACTAAAATAAAATCATAAATTAAATTAATAATTAATGGAAGATGATTTTGATTGTATAAATCCGTTGCTGCTTCATTGACTTTTTGTTAATTTTAATTCAAATTCAAATGAAGAGTGGGTGTTGTGGTTTTTAGGTGGACACCATACCACAGTCTCTCCACTTTACTTAAATTATGATTAGAGGGTGGGTGAGAATCGATCCCCGGGATCTCATAGAACTGGGAGGGAAGTTCTAACCACTTGAGCATTAGATCAATCGATTAAAGACTAAATATTAATTGATTACATAATTGATTGATGATTAATGAATGAACAATGTAGAATTATATTTAAACCACTTTTTAGTATAAACCAAGAGGGGTTATTAAAATCTTTTCAGGGGACACCACAACCTCTCTCTTGACTTATATAATAGAGATTATAAAGAGGGTTAATTTCATCCTAATAAAAAAACAATAATAACAAGATTTAATGTGACTAATAACCGTAATAATTACAATAACAAAATAAATCGATAAAATATTGCCTTTTACTAGCCTTAATTTATTTTCTAGGAGGTTAAAAAAAAAAAAAAAAAAATCTACATCTCTAGTCCTCTCCTTGTTGAGCAAAACGCGGAAACAAATATAAACTGTCTAAAACAAAATTCCTTGCCGCGTTACTTGCGCTCCAAGATTGTAATAAATCTCTATAAATAGAATCGCTCCTTCAGTCGCCAGAACAAATCGCTCTGCTTTCTATTCCTTCATCCCCAATCTATAAACCCTAACCTTAATCCTAGTTTCTCTCCTCCAAACTCATTGCGATAAATCCAATTTCCTCTTACAAATCCTCCAAACATCTTCGTCTACCTCTCGATTCTCCCGTGGATTGCTCTGAATCGCGTTTTTCAATCCATTAATCAGAGAATTCCTCGTTGTATGAAGTTTGAAGTACGATCGGCGGCAATCAATTGATCGATTTTTGACATCGGAGTTCCTTATTGATCGATCACCAGTCGGATGAGCGTTATAGCGATCGAAATTTTCGATTTTCAGATAATCGAAGAGAAAGCGTTCGAGAATTCAGCATCGATATACTTGAAGGAGAAATCGAGGCGAAATAGAGATAACAATTCATTGTACTTTTGTTAATTTTTGTTGAAAGCTTTGAAACCCTTAATAATTGTTATCTAGGGTTTTATTGCGTTCGAAATATAATTTTGTTTGATTGATCGATTTGTTTGTGATTGGAAGAAAGAAAAAAAAAATAGTGAGAAATTATGGCTGTGTATTATAAGTTCAAAAGTGCAAAAGATTATTTTTCAATTCCTGTTGTTGGTCCTTTCATATCGATTGCCAATTTAAAAGTATCGATTTTTGAATCAAAGAATATGAGAAGGGGTACTGATTACGATCTCATCATTACCAATGCACAAACCAATGAAGGTTGGTCAATCAATTTTGATTGTTTCCAGCAACTTTATTAGAAAATTTTCAATTTCATACTCTTAATATTATATGAAGTTATTTTGATGGAGCGATCTAATGTTGGCTTTCGCTATGTCTATTGCTTAAACTCAAGCTCGAAGTGTTGATTATATCTACTCTTACGCGCAATTAGGCTTTTCGCTTTTGTATTGCTTAAACTCTTAAGTGTTGATTATAGATGATAGCTATTGAATTCGCGCGCGCGCAATTAGGCTTTTCGTAGTTGAATGGTTGATTTTGATAAGCTTAATGAGAAAATGTTGAGGACACCGTGATTTTCGTTGGACACGGTTGCTCAACTAAATAAGTATAGGTCAATGCAATTAGTTTTTCTTTATTTTTATTTTGTGTTGATGCGTTTTGTACTATAACCTTTGATAAGAATCCCAATTTGGTCTTCATTTTGATATGGGTTTAGTGTCCCTCTTAAGAGTGTTTGAGCTTGGGGATATTACGACATACCTAAGTCGACATTTTAGATTTTCCACACATAACACCTGCCAACATTTGTCAATTGTAGATTGACAATTCTAGTTAATGAATGTTGTATTTGCTCTTTTTCATGGTTTTTGTTTATATGTGTTATGATTTCAGAATATCTTGATGAAGAAATGTTGATTCCAAGAAATACCTCTGTTCTTGTACGCCGAGTTCCTGGACTGCCTCGTAAGCCCATTGTTGTACAAACAGACAAGTAATGTTTCAACCTTTGCCTCGTTTGACCTTGAATTATGTTTTGCTGCAACAATAATAGTCATTTTATTTAATAAACCATTGTGTTGGTGTGTTTAGAGCAAATTTTGTTATGTATTTTAATTTAATTCAAGGTTGTTGAATATATATCCTGAACAGAATTGTATATTGTATCATATGAAGAATTATGAATTAAAATGTGACTTGTTTCCTGATCTAGAATCTCTGATTTTTCTGTAGTGCAAAGATGGAAAATAAGGCTGGGTATGATCAATCTGCAAAAAGCAGCATTACAACTGCTGATTCTTCAGGCATTTTAGCTGTATGTATCCACTACTCAAATGGTTCTGTGTCACAATACCTCGTATATGACTGATGACATAAATGATTTTCTTTTTTCCTCAGTTTGAAGCATCTGAAATGGATGATAAATTTGGAAGTAGTCCTTTTGCAATGACCCCTGAGGTGATACCTCTAGGCTATCCGGCAGTTCAGTGCACGATTCAGTTTGTGTAAGCAAAGCTGATGAGGACGACAGAATCAAGGCTTTAGTTGAAAATTCTGGTTTAGACTGGCAACTGTAAGACACTTTATATTTCTATTAGCACTATGGATATTGTGTCTGTTCATGAATCAATGTTTTCATGTATTAATTGGAACGTCCTGTAAAAATGCAGTCATCATACTGATGGTTTTGGCTCAAGGAGAGGTTCTGGAAGAGGTGAACAGAGTACCCAAGGATTTGGTATGTCTATAAATTGTAATTTCCTTATATGATTAGCTTATTGTTTTACGGGATAAGTCCTTTTGTTAATGAACCATTCGTTAAATAATAATCTAAAGTGAGCATGAGATGGGCAATCTAAAGGGAATTCTTGATCCCATCAATGCTTGTCTATGAGTCTAAGTGGTTGGATTATGGAAATGATTCTTATTGCTAATTATGTATCCTTTTGATTAGTTCGCGGTGGTTTGAAGTTGAAAATACCTCCACAAGGCTATGTTTGTCATAGGTGCAAAGTTCCTGGTGAGTTTTTAAATCTTGACCATTCATGCTTATTATGTTAATTGTTGTATTTAACATAGTTAACATTGCTGATTGTTTGTAAAAACCTTCATAACTTAGGTCATTATATTCAGCACTGCCCAACAAATGGTGACCCAAATTATGACATTAAGAAAGTGAGACCTGCTACTGGTATCCCAAATTCAACGCTGGTACCTACACCAGATGGCTCCTTTGTATTGCAGAGTGGCACTGCTGCTGTTTTGAAGCCAAATGAGTAAGTTAACTTTCTTAAGTAGCAAATTGTTCTCTTTTCAAAGCTGGATTTTCGAGCTAACATGGCACTTTCACTCTGCAGGGCTGCCTTTGATAAAGAGATGGAAGGGCTATCTTCTTCTCGTTCTCTTAGAGATCTTCCACCTGAACTCCATTGTCCACTGTGCAAAGAAGTGATGAAAGATGCAGTCTTATCTAGCAAGTGTTGTTTCGGGAGCTTCTGTGACAAATGTAAGTTGAATGTCAACCATGACGAATTGTCATCAGATCGATATGTCCAACTTGTGGCGATTGATGATCTTGTATATATGTTCAAAGATGTAACAATTTGTTGATTATTCATTTTGATTCCCCCAGAAAAAAATTTTGTGGATGATATTTGATCTCCTTTGTATAGATGAATTACTGAGTTAATACTATCCTTGTAAATAGAGAGTTATGTGGTGTTTGAACTGTGATGAACTGTTGCAATTAACTTTTATGTTTGTTTAATCTCATTTTTCGTCAATGTGATCAGGTATCAGGGATTATATCATTTCAAAATCAATGTGTGTCTGTGGGACAATAGATATACTTACAGATAATCTTGTGCCAAATAAGACATTACGGAATACAATTAACCGCATCTTAGAGTCTTCTGGTAACAGCAGTGTGGATAATCCAGGAAGCTCTGTTCAATTTCCAGGTAGTTAATAAATCTTGGTTTTCCTGTTACTGTTATGATTGTTATTTTTTATTTTGTTTTCCATTATTTAATATTATGAGTGTATTGTGTATTCAGATAAAGAGTCTGCACATCATCCTCAACCTAGAATTCCATCACCTACTCAATCTGCTGTGTCGAAAGAGGAGAAAATGTTACCCCCAGATGCTAAAGAAACTTCAAATTTAAAGGAGAATATGGATGATGGTGGTAAGCTTAGTGCTGCTCCACAAGTTGGGGTACAACCACAGACCTCAGGGGAAGATAAGATCACTAAAGTTCCAGATGTATCTGAAGCTACACATGAACATGTTACTGTGAAGGAACCTGCATCACAGGATAGTGCTTTACCTCTTACGGAAGAAGTTCAGCCGAAGGTGGCTGTTAACGAAGCAGGTAATTACTGCAACGGGTGGTTGAGATGATTTTAGAATTTGTTTAAGTTGCCTGATCTGGAATAGTTTTCTCAGCTTTATCCAGTAGACTCGTGCCTTCTTTCCCCCCTTTTTGTTGTTTCACCTGTTGCACATAATTCTAATCAGTTTGCTAGGTGTTGCCTGCTATTCTAACCAGTTTTCCTCTCTTTGTCTTTCAGGGAAGAAAAAGAAAAGGAGGAAGGTGTCTTCATCTGTTAATGGTAGATTTATTTTATTCTTTTTTTTTTTTTCCTTGCTAAAACTCCTCGAGAGGTTGTTGTGAGTTTTTCTTTATTAATATGTGTGTGTTTCTTGGGTAAGCTTCTAATATTAGGCATGAATTTGGTAATTTGTAGTTGCAGGCATGCAATGGATGAGTATGCCTGGTATGGACGAAAACATGTGCAATACTGCATTTAATCCTTACCAGAGAGGCATGCAACCTGCTGTTAATGGATTTATGGGCCCTTATGGTGGTAACATGCCTTACAACATGAGGTATGGTCTAGGATCTGCGGATATATTTTTCGGCGATTTTATTTCTCCAAATTTTTATGGAGCACAAGGATTCATGATGCCCCAAATGCTTCCTCCACAAAGGTATGTGTTGCTGAGTTGTAACATATGTTGATACTCTGATTATATTCATTTTATTTGCTTGTGGTTCCTTTTCTGCTCAATGCATATAGTATTTTCCACTAATAACAGTATCCATGCAGATGAGTGGGTATAGTAATACATTCCCCCCCCCCCCCTACTCCCTAAAAACACGATCATGTTTTAAATGTTCTGTAGTTAGTGAGCTGGGATTGAATCATTTGAGAATTGTGAAGTGGTTGTACTATGCTATTGCCCTTATGACGGGTTAATCCGTTAATAAGTGAAAGTTGAGAAGTTTGCATTTGGCCAATGGCTCACTGTTATAGTTTGAGATTATTTGTAGTTGTATCTTGTTTGTATTAAGTTAGTTGTCAATGTGTTGCTTTGATCTAATCCGAACTGAACTTGTGTTGCACAGGGACCTTCATAAAGATCGTGATTGTCACAGAGAAGCAAGAAGCAATGACAATGTCCTGCCTGAGAAGTCCAAACTTGTATGTTATTTTGTTGTCCAAATCTCTGTTCTCTCTGGCTTTGATCTTTTGTATTTTAGGAGTTGCATGTTGACAAATGGAAATTTTCAGTTTCATTTATCTCCTTTTCCCGTAATATTTTGGAGCGTTTCAGAGGAATACCAAATGTTGTGTTTGTTTTGGTTAAATTTTTTATTTTTTTTACACTTGCCTTGCACTTGTATTTTGTTGTTATTACTCTCTCTCTCAAAGTCTCAATCCATACATCTCATACTCTGTCCTTAGTCCTTGTCCAATATTTTTTTTTTTTTCTTCTTCTCCGTATAAAACCTACAATGATTGTTTTAGGGATGGAGTATATATTACTCGAGCTTTTTTTTTTTTTTAATTTATCTATCTATTTATTTTTTTTATTCGTAGATTTTGGTTGTGTACTTGAGTTGAGCCATAGGCCCACATTTCTTATTGTCAAATCCTCCAAACATGAGTTAATGCTATGAATCTTGTTATTTTTGTTGTCTCGTGTTTGAGCCTATACATTTTTTTTTAAAAAACCAAAACTATATTTATATACAAATAAATGTACGGAGTAATGAACAATAAAAAAAGTTGAACTCAAGGTTATCAGAGATGCAGGCAGCCAGGCATGCAGCAGTTGATTTTCAAATTTTGTAACACAACGATTATACAAATGAAATGTAGTTAATGGTAACCAACGTTGTGCTAACATGAATATTAATAGGATAATGTAAATGATTATTTACTAAATTGATACTCTGTATTAGCTTAAGGATTTGTGACAAAATCTCATATTGGTGTTACTGTTTGATCATTGCTTTATATTTTTTTTATTAGCTTCTATCAAAAATTGACTTTCATGCACTATTAAAAAAATTTAAATATTTTCATCTATTCTTTGATCACTACGTAAAACAAATAATAATTTTCTAAATTAATAACCAAATCAAAAAGGTTGTTTAGATGCCATTTGCTAGTATCCATGATTATCATATATTCGGTTTTATGTACATATCTCTAATAATATATGATAATCAAATCATATATTTTAACATTTTTAAAACGTACGATTGTTATTGACAAAGATCTGTGGACTTCGTGCAGAAGCCAGCATCAGCTCATAGGTCTTCAAGGGAAGAACATCACGATCATGATAATGACCGCAACCATGACCATAAGAGAGAAATTAAAAGAGAGTCCATTGACCATGATCGTTACCATTACAACCACCAGCAGATCTCCCGGAGACACCAATCATACGATCATGCCAGCCGTGACTCATATCGCCCTCGGCCAACTTTAAAAAGAAAATCTGAACATTATGAGCTAGGCCATGAGATGGATCATCATCACAGTCACCATTATGGCCGCTCCAAGTCGTCATCCTTAAGGCAGTGACCGTCCAAAGTGTCCCCTCTGCAAGAAGCGAAACCAGAAGGCAGGAGAGTGTAGATACTTAGGTGCCTTGAGCAAAGTTGTATTGAAATGAAAAATGTACTACGTAATATGTTCGCATAGTAACACAGATATGAAATGTACTTGATTTTTTCAAGTATAATAAAAAGTGGTTTAGTTACCTTTCACATTTGCTATTAATCTTTTCATATGATAATGTTTTGGGATAAATTCTGCTCATTGAAAAACGCCTATGAAACCTTAAGTCTTAGGTAAAGATCCTACTCTGTAATTTTAACTCCACCTCCCTCAAAATAAAAAAAAATAAAAATAAAGATTAAATATTAAAAATTTGCATCAGTATAATCTCAAACATAAATTTAACTTAGAAATTTTTTTTTTTTTTACTTCGTATTAATATCTAAGCTTGTACATATGAGTACTCCCTTATTGTATATTTGTACATATCTAGTTAGTTTTTTAACATAGATAACTACAATTTCGTTCTACAAAAAAACTTCTCATTAATTTCTTTTGGACACATAGTTATAAAATAGTTTTTGTGTTGAAGTTACATTGAATATAAGTGAGTATTGAATAAGTTTGTGGGTATCATATAGTTTTTTCTATTTGTTAAGAAAGAAAGTGACGAGGAGCATAATAGGTTAAGGAAACAATATCCTGAACCCAAGAGATGACAAGAAAAAAAGGGAGAAATGAAGGAGAAAGAGGGGTGGGTGGTACTTTTCAGCACTTCAAAAAAAAAAAAAGCACCATTGATTAAGCTTTTTTTATATCGTTAAAATCTATAATCATGGACGGAGCTTCAGACTCACAGCTTACATCTTATTAACCTCATTTCAGTAGAGAGAAATATTTGAGCTCAACGACTCGATTTCCTTTGGTCCATATATGTCGAGCTTAGTTGGGTTTGCATGAGATTTGAGTACATTCCCATTATACTGGACAGCCTGAGGGGTCCAGGTATGGATGGCTTGGACCTAAGAAGCTGAGGGCACGGGCATGCAGCCACATAAAATGTCATGAAAAGATAGGGATAAGCTGCAGCAGGGAAAGAAAACTCTCGGAACTCAAAAGAGGCAAATATAGATTCTTACTACACGCTTTAACTATCGAAGGTTTTAAGACCAAACTTTGAGCATTATTATTTAGATAAGCAGAACAGCAGGCGCACCAGTTACAATCATACTCTGATTTATGACAATCTTACAGCCATACGAAATGCAAATCTATAGTGAAAAAGAAAGGGAAAAAAAAAAAAAAAAAAAAAAAAAAAAAAAAAAAAAAAAAAACCCAAATCTAATACATAGCAAGATAGAGCCCCAAATTCTGGAGATTGCATCTGGTAATGAGGAGAATGAGTATTGATTTGAACTTGTATATCCAATCTGCGACCTGCAGAATGCAAATTTCAATAATTAATGAAAGAAATATAAACAAATTTCCATAGTAATTGACAAAACAAAAGAGCTAGAACATCAAAGATCAAAGTTGGATAATTGAACAAAGAAACAGAACATCTAATGTCTAAACCGAACCACTAAGTTAGAACAGAGGACAATTGGAGTTGGCTAAGTGACTTTAAATGCAACTTGCTTTCAGCTCTCCAGAACCACAAGGCTAATTATTAATGAACTAATTTCTAACAGACAAACTACTCTTATTGTCCCAACAGATATGACTTTATAAACTATGAGAGAACCCTTTCTAGATCAGTCACAATATCACATAGATTGTGAAGACTTACGAGTAGCATGCAAAACATGTACCAGACATTGGAGCCAGGAATGAGCCACGATCAATGCGATGTTGCTGGATAATGATGCAATGGCTAAACTGTAGTGGTCTTCTACCAGAAAAATGGAAGCACAAGATTTTAGCGTTGGCTGAGAGATAAATACATCCAAAAGCAAGATCAACTATCCCATAAACTAACTGCCACCATTAAACCTGAATTGTAGTAACTGAAAATTTTAATGATACTAAGCAATTGAAGGTCAAAGCCTAGTGTAATGAACTGATACTACTCACACTAATAACAGCAAAATAAAGAGAAAGGATCGGTTCTTTGATTAGCTAAATAATCTGCTTTTTGGTAAATTGATTTATAAAGAAAAAATAAGAAAGATGGAAGCTTTACTAACGATTGAAAATGGCAAAAGATTTACAAAGATAGGCTAATAGCTTTAGGCTATTACTCTCAAACAGTGAGTTTAGCTCACAACTCTCCATCAATGGCTTTAGGCCATAACTCTCTCAAGGGTTCACACCAAATTTCTACCTACCTTCTTCTTTCTTCCCTCTCTCTATTTATACTAAGGCTAAAAACTACTAACCTAAAAAATACTAGACTTCTCAAAGTGCCCCTCCTAAGTTAGTTTATTACACCTAGTTGACAGCTAAATCCACACGTTAATTAGATGTTAAAACATTGCACCTAACAAAAGCAGCATATTTTGTACTCATACCAGTATGTCTTAGAATGGCCAAAATTTTATAAGCTACAACTGTTGTAAGCTAGCCTATTGTGGCAGTAACCAAATTCCCTGAAGTAATCCTTTTCTGCAATGGATAAGTGTAGCAGATTTAACAATATACTGAGTGGGTTTGTTTCTCTGAGTGGCTGAGTATATTGCCATGATGTACAAGCAGTTAATGGAAGGATAAAATGTAGGGCTACACAAGCCTTTGCAACTGGGCAGGAGAAGAATAGAAAAGGGCAATATAATATGGAGGACAGACGCTTAGATAGAGTTTCTTTGTAGCTCAATACCACACCATAGCATTGCTACAGTGCCACTAATGAGGCATCTGCCTCTGGCAAGGTTAAAGGGTTAAATTTTATGCTGCCACATACATGTTCAAAAATACTATTTTAGAGTGATCAGCTGAAGCGAAGCTGTTCTCATCAGAGCTCTGAAGCCTCTGATATATTAAAAAAAAAAAAAAAAAGGCAATGGACTGGCATACTTCTCCCATTAAAAAAAAAAAAAAAAAAGAAAAGAAAAAAGACAAAAAGTAGAAGACAGCTTGAACGGGCATTGATAAGTCTATTACCATTTAAAGTTGACAAATTGCCCAGCTTCAATCCTAAATTAGAAAGATAGCAATTACAAATAATAGCGTACATGCACAATTCAAGTTAGAGTAGCATCAGATAGGGCTAAAAAAAAAAGGCCATAAACATATGTAATTTGTTTAATTTGATATTTTTAAATTTCACAGGACTAAGAATACTGTATTACTTATGGCTATCAAGGATTTTTTTTTTTTTTTGAGAAAGGTGCACATTCTGGGCACCACTAGCTTCGGTCAGTTTGTTAATACTTGAGGGGAGAGATTGAAAAAGACTTTTCTAAAATTACAAATCATACAGGGTTTAAGACTTCACGTTTCTCTTTCATCCCTAGTCTATTACCTTTCGAAGTGAGTCTCCTCCTTTATAATATGGAACGTCTCATTTGATTGTCCTACTTATTCATGTTTCCCTATGCAATCAATGCATTAATTCGCAAAACCTTATCCTTACTGGTTATTTTTCATGTTTTTCTGGGTTCAAAACTTCATATATACACCAATCAATCTAGTCATCAGAATCTTACTCGCCAAATTGTCAGACCAATAATGGACAGTAAAGTTGCAGCAAGGAAGTAACCACAACTACTCAAAAAAATGATTGGAGTACTATCTTTCCATGTGCGTGTGTAAGTGAATCCAATGTGCAAACGTCCAGCATTGGTGATCACCTTTACGGGAGGTTTGAGTAGATAATATTAAGGGCAACTTTTCAACAGCTTGTTTCGAGCCCAAAAATACATATTTAGGTTCTACGAAGATCCCAGCCAAGAAACAACAAAAACCATCTGTTATTTCCATTTGGATTTTGTGAAGTTAATACCTTCCAAACAGCAGGACTCCTAAGTAAACTTAAACAGTTGCTAGGTTAGTACATCACCAGCTAAGAACGTAAACAGGGAATTAGCAAGTAACTATAATACCCTGAAATGAAATCACTCACACCAACAAAAGATCAAAGCAATAACATAAAAAACAATCCCAACATAAACATCATTAACCAACACAGAATGATGAAAGCTCACAAACAATACACTAGCTCACACCAATTCAATTTGGTCAAATCCAACATTGAAGTGCACCACTACAAAGGTTTAGACAGCTAATACTAAGGGCATCACTTCCCAATAGGTTGACCTGATCCCAAAAAAATTACATTTTTGAGTTTAACAAATATCCCAAACTAGCAAGTAGCAACTGCAATAACCATCTCTTATTCCAAAAATACCATTCGGATTTTGGAAAGTTAAGTCCTTCCTACAGCAACACTAACAAGTGAACTTAACCAATTGCTAGATACCTACATCACCAACTGAGAATGTAAACAGGCCAATAACAAGCAACTATACTCTGAGATGAAATCACTCAAGCTAACATAAGATCAACAAAGCAATAACTTTAAAGTATAATACACAATCCCAATATAATCATCATTTAAACAACACATAATAATGAAAGCTCACATACAAAATATAAGATCCAAGATAGAAATATACCCAACAAAACTCAAACTCAAGAGTCTGCAGCTGCTATCATCCCAGCCTTCCTCGCATAGGCAAAAATGCCGCCGGCTTCAATAACAGGGCCAGCATCCCCAATAGACTTCAAAGTATACTCCTTTCCAGTAGTATGATTAATCAACTTGCTCTCACCAAGCTCAACAGTTGCAACATCCCCAGTAGTAAACTCCTCACAAATCCTAACCTCTGATTCCAAAGGATAAATTTCCCCAGTTGACACAGAGTTCCTAAAGAAGATCCTAGCATATGACTCAGCCACCACAGCTTTAGCTCCAGCAGCACCCAAAGCAACTGGGGCATGTTCCCTTGATGACCCACATCCAAAATTGGCACCAGCAATGATAATAGAGTACTTTGTCTTGATTTCATTATCATCAACAAAACGAACTTGGTATGAACTGGGTAATCCAATTAAGGCATATGACCCAAGTTTTTGGTATTCTTCAGGGTTTGAAGGGACCAAAGTTAGGTACTCAGCAGGGATGATTTGGTCAGTGTCGATGTTATCGCCGACGACGTAGCAGAGACCATGAAACGCGGTGGAGGGTACGAAATCAGAGGAGGAATCCGCAGCTTTCAGTGGTGTTAGAGACGACGGCGAATGGGTTGAGGAGAGGAATTGAGTGCGGCATTTCGTCGAATAGGTGATGGGCAGTTTCAGAAATGAAGGGTTTTGAAGAGGAATTGAGGGTTTTGAAGAAGAATTGAAGGTGGGGTTAGAAGAAGTGAAGGTGCGGAAGGTTGTCGGAGCCGCCTTAGCCATGTTGGTTTTCACGGAGGAGCGGAGATACAAGAAATATGACGAAAGACAAATGCAGCGTAAAGGGGCGGCTGCTGCTCAATTGGACTAGTAGATGGGAGAAATGCAAATTATTGTGTGGACTAATTATAAATTTCCTTCATTATCCCCAAGGACCCCAACTGGCCAACTCCCTTTGCAAGCCCCGTTTATCAACGACTTAGATTTTTAATCCCTCTTTCTCTGTTTATTTGCTCCATATTTTAATTTTAGATCTTCTTTAAGCATTGCTCCATTTCCTTATATGATAATATCTCCCCACCACCAACCCTACTCATACACTCATACAATAAAATTGTACTTCCTTCTCCCCTTATTTTTGCCCCTAAGGTTTATGTTCACTTTATTAATTTTCAGTTGTGTAAATTTGATGAGAAAGAATAATGGTGAGTCCAACATATTGTTTGTGAGGGGAAAATGGTGGTTCTTATTGCTAAATATGGTATGGAGCAAAATAAAAGGGACATCCCAATAAGGAAAATGGAGCAAAATTTAAGGGACATGGGGAGTAAAAGACAAGGATACCCCATCCACTTGCAAACTTTGGTTCAATCCTTAATAAAGCACATTTTACCTAAGGAGTAAACAAATAGGGGCAGAGGAAGTATTCTTTTGAGCGGCATTTTTCTGCTCTACTGACATCTGCTATGCTCAACGAGTTTTTAAAAATGTTATGTGTCATATAGATTTGCACTAGCATAATAGCATTGTATTATGTCATCATTTAACTAGCATTGCGTCACGTAAATAAATATAAAATCATATTATACAATAGTAATTTATATCCTCTACATACACATAAATATATTTTTAAGTAAGCGCAAAAAAGATGAAAAATAGTTAGAAAATGTCGATTTTTACCCCATACAAAAAAAAAAAAAAAAAAAAAAAAAAATACAAAAAAAAACCCACCAAATTTTTTTTTCTATTAAAATTGGATTTCATCCCCACTTCACGGATTATCCGTTAGTGGGATCCATCACGTATACATGTCACTTATATATTGAAAACCCTAAATCCTAACCCAGCCACCACCCCCACCCACTATCAACCTTAACCGCCCACCGCCATCAACCCCCCTTGTCCCATCCCTGCAGTGCGGCACCCCAACCTCCCACCAGCATCAGCCCATCCCCGAAACACCCCAATCGACGCGATTCTCGCAAGCCCAGCCCACCCCTGAAAGAATCAAATGTAAAGGAGAGACTAATTGAGACAAATATTTAGGTGGATTGCTAAACATCGCCCGCAAATCTCCACATAAAGCCCACAAAATTCACTTGATTTGACAATATTGCCCTTGACCTAAAAAAAACACTCACACTCTCATCGCTCATCTTCTTTCAACATCTCTTAAAAAAAAAATTCAAACTACGGCAATGTCGAGGCGGCAAGGCAAGGAATTGGCGGCCGCGGCGGAGGCAAGGAGGTCTCAAGGAGGCAAGGTACAATTTCTTAAAAAAAAAAAAAAAAAAAAAAAAAAAAATTGAAAACCGTCGTGACGGAGGTGGAGCGCCTTGGCTGGACGCCCAGCCAGTGGTGGTGGCGCCAGCTGCAGACGCCGCAACCAGTGGGCTGGCGCCTGGGCTGAACGCCATAGCCACGGTTGTGGCGTTTTTTCAAAGCGCAGCAGCCGTGGCTATGCCGTCCAGCCCAGGCGCCAGCCCACTGGTTGCGGCGTCTGCAGCTGGCGCCACCACCACTGGCTGGGCGTCCAGCCAAGGCGCCCCCCCCCCCTTTTTTTTTTTTTGTATATGTCTATTAATTTTTTTTTTATTTTTTTTTTGTGTAATATCTTTTTCAATTGTTTTTATATTTTGTTGTTTATTTTTATAAATTTTTTCAATTTTGTTGTATTTTTCTATGTTTATATTTTGTTTACAATTATTGGTGTGTTTTATTTGTACATTTTTATTTTTATTCTCTATTTCAATTTGTTAGTACATTTTTTTGTTCATTTGATATTGTTTTTGGTTAGTTAATTTATTTTAATTTTTATTATTGATTTATAAAGTCTTAAAAGGACGCTAGACAAAAATCAATATAAGTTCAGTAAATTATCAAATAAAGCGACTACACCTAATTGAAAACCGAAACTAAATTGGGAATGAATTATTTATGTTTATATATATTCTTATGTGTTGGTTTTATTTCCTTTCTTAGTGTATTTTTTATTCTATTATTTTTATTTAAGTGTTTTGTTAATTTATTTATTATGTTAATTTGTTAGTATGTTTTTAGTTTATTTGATTTGGGTATTGGTAGCTATTTTTCGTATAATTTTTTGTATGTTTATATATTTTTAAATTTTTTGTAGAATTCACTGGGTCGTCATGGTGCGGGGAAGAATGTAGAGCTTCTTAGTAGAAGCTATCAGTGGAGAGGTCGGGGCATAGACATGTTAGATCCCGTGGTATTTCGGCCTCGGCTCGTAGAGACAGATCCACCGTCGGGATGAGGATGACGATGACGATGATGATGCTGAGGAGGGTGACCAGGAGGAGGAGCAGGAGGAGGGCGCATATGAGGATGAGGATGTGGACGATGGGAGTGGACCGTATGATGATTACGGTCCATTCAGTCAGAGGGTTGATGACATGTACGAGACACATATGGTGGAGGTGCGTAAGGGTAGGGGTGGTAGGTTTGTTAGTAGATCTGGCACATCATCTGCGTCCACTGTATCTGGGGCAAGCAGGAAACGGTCGAGGGTCGTTAATGATTCTTGGGTTGTTAGGAGTGAGGTGCCCGATGGGCCTGTTGACGGGAGTGTGATTCCTAGCTTTCTAGGACACATAGCTGCCCGTATTTGGGAGGACCAGAAGAGGCCTTCAGTTACGGGGTTGTTGAAATGTCATACCCGGGAAAAGACTTGTAGCTTTTTGCGTACATGGGCTGAGGCTTGGCCGGCGGAGAGCGAGATGTTCGAGCGACTGGAGGGCACTGGGGTGAATCACGTTCCTGCCACCATGCACGATAAGATTGACAGTACGATGATCACGGCTTTCGTTGTCCCTCCTCCCCCGGCATGCCCGATGAAGGCGGTCCGACCTGCATCGTCGAGGGACTACGTCGTGCAATGGCCGGATATCATGACTGGGACGTGGGACCAGTTTCCGATGGTGGCCCGCTTATGGACTGCGGAGTTGCAGAGGCCGCCCTCTGGGGTTCCTCCCATGTGTGACCACTACTACATGGAATGGTTCAACCGGTATTCGCACCCGAGGTTGATCGCAGATCTCGACCACAGCGATGATGATTATGTGCCACCGCCTACTGCCATGGAAGCGGTATGTCTCATAAAATATTTATCGTTGTTTTTAATTAAGTTTTATATGTTGTTATTGTATTTCATCTTTTATTTTTTGTTGTATGCAGTGGATGGGAAAGATAATGGAGGACGTACAGAAACTCTCTCTGGAGAAGGACAGCATGAGTGCAACAGTGAGAGCTGCTGTTGATAGTCTGGAACAGACCCTTGCGCATTGGGAGTCGGCGTCGAGGAGGGATTACTGATGGTTTTGTCATTTTATTTATAGAGCACTTTAAATATTATCGTTTTAATTTATTAAATTGGACATTATGTTTTAAGTTTGTAACATTTTAGATTGTTCTTTTAGCTTTCAACTTTGACATATTATCATTGCTGTTTTTAAATTTTGACATAACCTTTCGTGGATCCGCGCAACTTACCCATGCAACATATAAAATGCAGTAAGCAATACATTATAAAAAATTAATGTTCTCATTAAAAGAGCAACGTACGAATAAGATTACATAGGAAGAATGTAAACATGAAAAACTAAAATGCAACTAGGGTGTTCCATTCGTGGATCCGGTCATGGTATAGCGCATCCCAACCCTCTACGCTCGCTGTGCGAATGGTGTACCACCGAGGTATAATCGGTGGCACTGGAAAATCGGATGACATGTCTAGTCGGATGAAATGTCTGTATGACGACCCAAGAAACGCAATAGTTACCTCTCTGACCAATATGGTGACAGTCTCACGCGAACGCCAAGGGAGAACCGTGGTACAAGGATAATAAGCTTGACTATGCAATCCCAGGCCGAAATGCATGACTGCGCACTTGTAAATGTTTGCAACGGCAAACAGGCGCGTCAAAATAATGATTTTGGCCGCAAGGTCCACCTCCCCACCGGATACTCCGCAGAGCGCCATCCAAGTCATCCTGGTACACATGACGATAAACATTTCGGTTAGAGGCAATTTCGCTGTACATCAACTGACGCACCAAACCGTAGTTGTCTTCGCCCATTTGAAAAACATCAGCCACGACCCGGAATCCGCAGTTACCATCTCCGACTACATCATTCCACCCTTCCAAGTACGGCATGATGATCGCAGGTATCCTGTCCTTGTACGGAAACTGATCAACATCGTCTCTTCCTATTCACCATATAATTAAACACAGTTAAGAAGGCAGGAGTAACCTTATAAACAATGTGCAATGTAAAAAACCAAAACGTACCAGTTCTCAGGGGCATATTCACAGACGATGAAGATTGACTACGACTAGATGACGAAGTCCGACCACGAGCACGACCACGACCAAGACCACGGATATACTCAAACGCACTCCTGTTCCGCCGTTGGCGACCTCGAGGACGGTCAACTCCTTCGGGTTCCTCAAAATCTAAGGTAGACGTGTGGAACATGTCATGAAGTACATGAGTAGCGTCACGAATAATAGAAGGATGGCTGGAGGACACTCGGTCGTACATCGAACGAAACTGCTCCAACTCCTCCTGTTCACGGTCGGCCGTTTGAGTATCTGCATGCTCACCAATAACGAGCGTCCGCCAGAATGAATGGACCTGATCAACATGTAACGACGCCCTTTCTTCTGTAATAACGCGGTGAATGGTGCATGCGCAAGGTAATCCATGAGTTACTGAAATAGCACACCCACACCGAGCATACACTTCGTCAGCCAAGTCCCTCATCCTGTTCAGCTCAGTGAGAATCAACCCCAAGCAGTAGTGCGACACACGACCATGGAGAATCTTAAATATGAAATGGCTATACATCGTACCATGTCGTCGTCTGGAGTCCTCTAGAGAGTTCCTGATGCCGTTCTTCTGAGTTTCAATTGACTTGTTAAGTCTATCGAACAGTGTATCCAAAGCAGCGGTCGATGAATCAATCCAGTCCTTGGTAGCTCTATGAGCGCTCTCAACTCTACATGTTGTAGTGTTCCCGAAATGAAGTACCTGGTTTGTCCAATATTTGACAAACTTTTCCCTGTGAGGGACCCATTGCTGCATCACATAGTCCACCAGTGTCGGACACCACTGGTACGAATCCCTGAAGTTAGCCAATTCTCGCTCGTACGATTCCTCTGTGGTAGCCTGTAGGATCTTCCGCCACTTACCATTCACCAATCTCTCTACCATTTCCAAATTCTTGTTGAAAAGGTTGTAGGCTTTCACTTTCACGCAGTTGTTGATGTGCCATGTGCACAATAAGTGGTTCGATTCTAGAAACAGCTCTGCTATGGGGGCAAAGAGACCTCCCTCACAGTCGCTGACGATGGCTGCTGGATGAACATTAGGCCCGATGTAGTTTCTCAGCTTCTCCAAGACCCAATAATAACTTGGAGTCGTCTCATCCTTGATGATTGCATGACCAATCAGAAAGTTCTGGTTCGTTGGAGTCATCCCCATGATCTCAACCAGTGGGAACTTGTACTTGTTTGTCTTGTACGTTGAGTCGATCAAAATCACAAATGGCCAAGACTTGATCATATCAGCACAATCAGGATGCACAAGGAAAAGATGAGTCACCTCCGCTGTATCTTCATCAGAATCAAACCAGAACAGGTAACCACGTGATTGTGCCTGGTGTAGCAGCTGCTGTATAGAGTTCCTTCCCTCTGACCGTTCAAACCTGAGTTGCTGTCTGACGTTGTAGATGTGTCTTCGGTTTGGATGGTCTTCTGAAAATTTCTCTAACACAGATGCTAATATTTTAGCAGGCTTGACTTGAGCATCACTCATTTCTTTTACAACTAGTTTCGCAGCAGGACTTAAGCCGCTCAGCTGTCGATGACCCTCTTCATATACTATCTTCTCATGGTTGTGATACCCCCATTTAGAGTAACCAATCACTTCCCAACCGTCACGACTCCGTAGTTGTCGGACCTTTACTCTGAACTCACACCCACAACCTTTCCGCTTTGTATCAAACCGAGTGGCTGTACGAAAATCTCTTTCTTCTCTTTTGCGATAACGGTCACATCTCAAAATGCGATCCATTCTACCATCCCGTTGAGATTTATGAGTTACTACTACCAAGCAAAATCCAGCTGCAATTGCAACCTGTTTTGCCCAATCAATCGCTTGTTGAGCTTCTTCGAATGGACCATCATGTCCAAATATCCCACTGTAATCATTTCCGTCACCACCATAATCCTGCATCAATTATATATTATAATAAATACATTTAACGGATAATACATTTAATTTCTATATTTACACAGAATTAACAAAAAAAAAACATAATTATGTATAATATTATTCATACACATACACATACAAATTTTAAACACAATCATTTATAAAAGTCACATAAACAATTTCCAATTTTTTTTTAATACAATTTCGAATTGTCAAACTTAATTTTAGAAAAAAACCTTTCTCAACAATCAAACTTAATTTTTAAAAAAACCCAATTCGAATTTTCAAACTAAAATTAAAAAAATACCATTTCGAATTTTCAAACTTAATTTTAAAAAAACCTATTTCGAATTTTCAAAATTAATTTTAAAAAAACCCATTTCGAATTTTTAAAAAAAATCATTTTCGATTTTTTTAAAAAAAAAATTAAAAAAAAAAACAACAAAATCAAAAAAGAAAAAAAAAACGAAAAAAAATATAAGGTGGCGTCTGCCAGGGCCGCCACAGCCACTGGACTGGCGCCTGGAAGGGCCGCCTCATCCAGTAGAGTGGCGCCTGGCCAGGACGCCAGTCTGGTGGTCTGGGCGTCTGGGCTGGACGCCACTGTGGTGGTTATGGCGTCTGGCTTGGACGTCCAGGCTACGGTTAGGGCGTCCATCCTAGGCGCCGGAGCCACTCCTACGGTTAACCGTGAATTTTAACGGTGACTTACCTCGTTTTCCGTCGACGACGACGTACCTCCGGCGTCCCCCGCATCTCCGGCCTGCCCTCCGGTCTCCCCCGGCGAGCCAGTACGGCTCCACATTTTTTAAACCGAGATTTATTCAATTTTAGAAAATGGGCATAATGGTCACACCATGTCATATTTGTGGGCTTTATATGGTAATTTGCGGGCGATGTTTAACAAATCCCATAATTAGAAACAAAGGTAGTATATACTTGTACTTGTTTATTTTTATTTTTGAAAGGAAAAGTACTTGTTTATAATCAATCAATATATATATATATAAACAGACACCAGGAATGACACATGTCACTTCTTGGTACTGTTTTTTCCCTCCAAAATCACCCATCCCCCCCACCTTTTTTTTTTTTCTCATTTTCATTTTTTTTAGTCAATATCACTTACTATAATTTATACGCAAAATATTTACTAAATAATATAATCGTGGTAATTTTAATTCACATACTTTACATCTCTATAATAAAATATTTTTCATATTTATTACGTTATATCTTAACTCTTAAATATACCTGGTTCACATTACTTTATTGTGAACGACTAATATTAGATACATTATGGTCATTTTATTAATAAAAAAAAGGTCACTATGTCAAAATAAAGGTTATTAAGTTAACATAAAAGTTGTTGTGTTATTATAAAGGTCATAAGAGGCTATTATTATTTTTTTAATGAAATTTTAATATATTGGTCAACATGAATAATAAAGGTCACTATATTAAAATTAGGGTCACTATGTTTAACATAACGTTGTACTTCAGATTTACAATAATATTAAAGATCACATAAGTTTTAATAAAGGTAACTATGTTAAAATTAAGGTTACTATATTAAAATTAAGCTCACTATGTTCAAAATATAGTCAATTGCGCGTGTATACATCTCAGATCCATAATAATATTATTGTGAACGGTCCACACAAGTTTTTCCGCATAAATATTACTTCGTACTTCGTATGTCATATCTTTAAATAGCATAATACATTATATTTTATTATTTCAAATTATTAATATATTTTAACTAATCTAATATAGTAGCAATATTAAAAAAAAATAATAAAAAAAAATAAAAAAATTGATGAATCTATTATAATAAGAGATTCATAGTTCGTACTACACAAATTTTTACTTCCTCCGCTTTTTTATTTTAAATAAAGTAATGTATAGTTTGTTTTGGACTTATCGTGCGTGACATGGGTCTTAAACTAGTGCAGTAATAAGGTTGAGGTGGGTTATTTGCTTTGATTCTTTCCATATGTTATCACAAATTTGACAATGACATCAGGCACCATAGTGTCCTTTCAACAAAAAAAACTGAAACGAGAATAGAAAAATTAAACGAAAATGTAAAGAAAGGTGGGGACAATCGGACAAATAACGAAAGCTTAGATATTGAATTGAATTTTTGATAATAACGCAAAATCTTTTAATTCTAGAGTAACTGAAACTAATTAAGCACTATATAAGCTACGAATTTAAACATGATTTTACGCTACTATTTACAAATGAGATAGGGAAAAAAAATAAAATCAATTAAAGAGCTAGAATTAAAAGAACAAGACTAAATGCAAATTATGCAATTCATCATACTCCCTATTCAATGGAGATTTTCCCACATTAATCTTGTGTAACTCAACCATCAATTTTCCCCAGCAACTCAAAACGGAAATATACACACTTTGTACACACGAATCGATCATTCCTTATGAATACGAGCCAGTAAAAGACTTGAGATGACCAACTTCAACTAACCGCATCAGCAGCAACTGCCTTTAACTGATAAACTATCCCAGTAGTTTGATTCACCAAAACCCTCTCTTCAACATCAACAGTGGCAACATCCCCTGTTTTAAATTCATCACAAATTCTTACCTCAGATTCCAAAGCAAAAATCAACCCACTCGAATTCGAGTTCTTAAGAAAAACCCCATCATATGATTCAGCCACAACAGCTCTGGTTCCTGCATCACTCAAAGCATCAACAGCAGCATGTTCTCTTCCACAACCAAAATTATTCCCTGCAATAATAATCGAGTACTTTGACTTTATCCCGTCATCCTCAACAAATCGAAGAGGGTAATGATCCAAGCTGGAATAATATTGTGTAGGAATGATTTGATTAGTCTCAACATCGTCCCGAACTACGTAGCAAAGACCGTAAAAGTATGTGGAGGATGAAGGAGAGGATGAATTTGAGGTGGTGGTAACGGAAGAAGATAAGGAAATTGCGGTGAGTGGTGCTAGTTTTATTCGAGAGGTGGCGAATATAGAGAATTAAGCAGAATTGTGTTTGCAATTTTCTGTGTGTTTATTGCTGGTGATAGTACAAATATTTATACACAGAACCAAGGTTACAACAACTACTACCAAAAATACAGCCTAAATATTTGCAGAATAAATTGGTCAATATTTAGTCCCTTTAATTAAGGAACTAATTATGGTTATTTCTACACTCCCCCTCAAGTTGGGCATTTGGTGCTCCAATGCCTAACTTGCGTAATGTCTCATCGAATGCTTCACTGTTGACAGCTTTTGTCAGGATATCAGCTAACTGATCTCTTGATCTCACAAATGGAAGTTTAATTATCTTATCTTCCAGTTTGTCTTTTATGAAGTGTCTGTCTATCTCAACATGCTTCGTTCTGTCGTGTTGAACTGGATTTTCTGAGATACTTATTGCTGCTTTGTTATCACAAAAGAGTTTGCATGCTGTTTTTTGTGGAAAACCAATTTCACTCATAAGTTTCCGGATCCATAAGATTTCAGTTATCCCTTTTGCAATACCTCTGAATTCTGCCTCTGCACTTGACAAAGCCACTACTTTCTGCTTCTTACTTCTCCAGGTGACCAAATTACCTCCTACTAGGGTGAAGTATCCAGAGGTGGATTTTCTACCATCACGATCTCCTGCCCAATCTGCGTCCGTGTACGCAATTAGATCTAGGTGATCATTCTTGTCAAAGTAAATCCCAGTACTACTTGTACCCTTTAGGTACCTCAAAATCCTCATTACTGCTGTCATGTGTTGTACTTGTGGAAGATGCATGAATCTGCTCACTACCCCTACTGCATAGGCTATGTCTGGTCTTGTGTGAGCTAAGTAAATAAGTTTCCCCACAATCTTTTGATACTCCTCCTTATTAGTCAATTTTGCACCTTCAAGAATTTGAAGGCCATGATTTGCCACAATCGGTGTTTCAGCTGGTTTGCAACCAAGCATTCCTGTTTCTGCCAGAAGGTCAAGAATATATTTCCTCTGGTGAATGAAGATCCCTTGCTTTGATCTCAAGACCTCTATGCCAAGAAAATATTTGAGATTGCCCAAATCTTTCATCTCAAATTCCTGAAATAATTTTCCCTTTAAGTCTGCAATCTCCTCCTCATCATTTCCTGTAATAATCATGTCATCTACATAGATGATTAAACAGGTGATTTTCTCTTTTTCTTTCTTCAGGAATAAAGTATGATCGGAATTACTTTGCCTATATCCAAACTTCTTCATAGCTTTTGTGAATCTTCCGAACCACGCCTTAGGAGACTGTTTTAGTCCGTAGAGAGCCTTCCTCAATCTGCATCCTTCCCCATCTCTAAAATCATGAGAATATCCAGGAGGTACCTCCATATACACCTCCTCGTCAATGCTTCCATGAAGGAAGGCATTTTTTACATCAAACTGGTACAAAGGCCATTCCTTGTTTGCAGCTACAGAAAACAGAACTCGTATCGTGTCAATTTTGGCCACAGGAGAGAAAGTTTCTGAGTAGTCTATTCCATATGTCTGAGTGTATCCCTTAGCAACCAGCCGTGCTTTGTATCTCTCAATAGTTCCATCTGCTCTGTATTTGATGGAGAATACCCATCTACATCCCACCTTTTTCTTCCCCTTTGGTAAGATGCATTTCTCCCAAGTCTTGTTTTTCTGTAAAGCCTGATACTCTTCTTCCATAGCCTGCTTCCATTTTTCATTCTTGACAGCTTCCTCCACATTCTTTGGAATGTCTGCGGAGTATAAAGAGGCATTGAAAGCTATGGCTGTGCTGGATAGATTTTCAGTGCTGATTCTTTCGATTGGGTATCTCGACCGTTGGTCCTCATATTCAGGATCATATCTCCTTGGTGGAACTCCTCTCGTACTTCTAGGAGGTAACTCATACCTGTTTTGTTCACTTTCATTGGAGACAGGATTAATTTCAGGCATATTATAGGAAACAGGAGAGCTTTCAGATGGTACCTCTTCAGATGGATGCTCATTTGGCGGATTTGGTGGAGACCGAAGAGGAAGTGAGACTACTGCTTCTGGGGTAGCATCGGTGGTATTGCCTACTTGTGTTGTAGGATCTGGGTCCACCATTTCTGGATATGTCAGCCAGCTAAGGTCATCACTCAAATTCTCCCCCTGAGGACTTAGCGGGGTGTAATAGTAAGTTTGTTCAAAGAACTCACAGTCTAAGGTGGTGTAGACCCTTTTTTGAATTGGATCGTAACAACGGTACCCTTTTTGATGAACCCCATACCCAATAAAGACACATTTAACTGCCCTAGGTTCGAGCTTATTTCGAGCCCGTTTTGGTAAATGAACATAGACAACGCACCCAAAGACTCGTGGAGGTAAAGAATGGACTGATGGGATGGTGACATGAGAGGATAAGGTGTCGAGAGGTGTTTTGTAGTCAAGTGGTTTACTGGGAAGTCGGTTTGTGAGATAGGTGGATGTAGCAATGGCTTCTGGCCAAAAATAGACCGGGACATGGGATTCTAACATGATAGCTCTGGTTATTTCAAGAAGGGTTCGATTTTTCCGTTCAGCAATCCCATTTTGTTGGGGAGTGTCTGGACACGTGGTTTGGTGAATCAGACCATGGTCAATAATGAATTGTTCCATATCTAAGGTTATATATTCCCCCCCATTGTCCGATCGTAAAATTTGTGGGTGAGCATGAAACTGAGTGCATATCATATGATAAAATTTAACAAAGACATCAAACAGTTCAGATTTATGTTTTAAGAAATAAACCCAACTCATACGAGTACAATCATCCACAAATAAAACAAAATAAGAATAGTTATGGAACGCAAATTTAGGCGCTGGGCCCCATACATCGGAATGAATCAAAGCAAAAGGTTCAGAGGCATGACTTAAACTAGGATGATAAGTATGTTTATGACTCTTAGCTAAAACACATGCTTCACAGTTCAATGCTACATCAATATTTTTAAATGAGGGAAATAAACGTTTAAGGTAACCAAGAGAGGGGTGACCTAGCCGACGATGCCACATCCAAAGTTGGTTTTCCGGTGATCCATGAGCAAGCAAAGCGTTACCCTGTTGAGCCACCTCATCCACATAGTACAAACCCCCTCGTTCAGTACCACGCCCAATGATCCGTCCTGTTAGAGCATCCTGCACAATACAACCAGAATCCATTATTAAGACTGTACAATTAAGCTCTTTAGTCAACTGACTCACAGATAAAAGCTTATGAGTGAGACTGGGAATTAAAAGACAATTATTTAAATGAATGTCCGAGGTAACATCAACGGTCCCAGCCTGGGAAACAGGAATATATTCCCCGTTTGCTGTTTGAATTTGGTTACGATGGGTGGTTTGAGTGGCTTTAATATCTAATGGGTCACACGTCATAGTGTCAGTAGCTCCACAATCAAAAATCCACGGGATAGGTCTATGACAAACGAGGCCAAAAGATTTTTGGTTTAAGCTAGGGGGCTGAGTATTTTCAACTTGGGCTCCTATTTTTTGTTTTATTGGGCTAAATTTATTTTGTGGGCTTGGGGTTTTAAGAGGGACGGTTAGAGGGTGAGAGGGGGTGGGTTTTTTGTGGGTTAGGTCTTCTACCGTCCTTGCCTCATCCTTCCCATTTTCAATCCCTCTTTCCATTTTCTGCTCTCTACCTTCCTGACCACCATAATTCTCGGTGGTACTTTCTGCTTCCTCCATGCTTGCGATCTTCTCTGCGCAACCTTCCTTGCCTGAGTTTTTTCCGCCACCATCATTGTCAGATCTACTGGGGGTTGGGCTCGATTTCACGGCAAGATGTGCCCTGCCGCCGGTCTGGTTCACGCCGACCTTGGTGGCGGCCTTCTTCTTTGTGTATTCCTCCCACCATTCCGGATACCCGATAATTTCGAAGCACCCCTTTTTGGTGTGTTTCGTTCCTCCACAATGGGTACACTTTAGGTGGGATTTGTCTTCTCGCCGGAATGAAGATTCCGACCGGCGATTAGCAACGAGCCCACTTCCAATTTCTGAGGGATTTTGTCCCGGTGATGAAACGCCGGTCATTATCCCGCGACGGGCAATTTCCCGTCTAATGAATGCGTATGCTGCGTCAATTGATGGAAGAGGGTCCTGATTCAGTAAGTCCCTCTTCTCTTTGTCCAGTGAGTCGTTAACACCAGCCAAAAATTGGTATAATCTCTGCCTCTGTATAAATGAATTAAAGAGGGTAATATCTTCTGAGCACTTCATTGGGTTTGGCATTCTCCTATCAATTTCTTTCTAGAGGGTATTCAGTTTACTGAAATACACCTCTAGGTTTTCGCTTCCCTGCTTCAAAGATGCAGCCTTTGTGTTCAGATCAAAGGTCTGTAATTCGTCCCTCCCACTACTGAGTAGGGTTTCAATGCCCTTCCACAGATCTCGAGCATGTTTATAATCTAGGAATTGGTTCACTAGATCTCCATCGATGTTTTCGATGATCCAGGACAGAACCAATGAGTCCCTTTGTGCCCACTGTGCGTACTCCGGATCATCTGGTGGTACGGGGTTGGCAGTGATGTGATTGAGCCTTCCCCGGCCACTAATTGCAATTTGCATCAATTTACACCATTTGGTGTAATTCGTAAAATTCAATTTTTCAGCAACACGCACAGTTTGTGATGTCCCTGATTCAGTGTTTATTGGGTTTTTGTTTAATTTCTGGAACATTTGGAACATTTGTTCCATCTGTTCCATAGAAATCAGTTGGTTGTTGTTGTTGTTTTCCGGTGGTTCCCCCATTTCAAGGTAAGTCTCCGGTATATGATGAGGCTAATTTAGGTTTCGGTTTCCCGAAGATCCGAACCTTACGGCTCTGATACCATATAGAGAATTAAGCAGAATTGTGTTTGCAATTTTCTGTGTGTTTATTGCTGGTGATAGTACAAATATTTATACACAGAAGTATCCTGTAAATTAGGCAACTACTACCAAGGTTACAGCAACTACTACCAAAAATACAGCCTAAATATTTGCAGAATAAATTGGTCAATATTTAGTCCCTTTTAATTAAGGAACTAATTATGGTTATTTCTACAGCGAAAGCGATGGCGGGAAGCTTGAGAGATGAAGGGGGGTGTGGAGGGATTGAGGGTTTAAGGGGTGAAAGGAAGGTGAGGGTGGTGGAGGAGATAATGTGGGATGTATTAGCCATTGTTTTTTTTGTAGTGTAAGAATTGAATGAGTTATGACAATATTATGAGTTTAGACGTGGAATTTATGGTGAATATATCTTCAAGAATTGAAGCACGTGTTAGACGCGTGAAATTTAGAGTTGATGGTGATGTTTGTCTTTTATAATGCAATATGCATGTAAAATATCAGAATATATATGTGATGTCAATAGAATGTCTAATTAAGCTAGTTCACAAAAGAAGTTCTTGGAATAAGGTTTTATTATTATTGGTAAGAATTTGGAGTAGTTTAATATAAGATTATTTCTCTCTTATACTTCGTATAAGGAAATCGTCAATACATTCTTTTTTATATGTTTTCTTTGTAATCTTCCCTTATTTCAATTCAATATTTGTGAACTTTGTGACATACCCTCTTCTAGAGCTATATATAAATATATAGTAAATGTATTTCTTAAATTGGTACTCAATATTGACTTAAAAATGTAAATGTAAGATAAAATCACAAATCAATTTTATATTTTATGCATAATTTATTTCTTTATTTTAAAAAATTATCTAAAAATGTAAGAAAATAAAGAGAATATAATACGCAATTTATATAAATCAAATTTTTTGGGGTGTACAAAGAATATATTACGTATGATAGATGCATATGATTCAAGATTCCATACTTTATTATTTTGGTTCATCCAAAGATATAGAAGATTGTGCATCACTAATGTAGGATAACTAATCTTTTAAAAGAGATGATCCCAATTAATCATTTGAATATAGTCTATAAAACTGGTTATGTTAAAGAAGATGGAGAATATAGTGATAAAAACAAGTTAAAAACAAAGACAAAGCCTTACAATAAGTTACAAATACTACGTATAATAAATATTAATAATATTCATAACATCAATTATAGAATATTGATTGTTTGCTGTTTTCAGCTTGTGAAATATGAAGTATGTCAATGAGAAAACAAGATAAAATAGAAAACCAAGGAAAATAAATCATACGAGGTATAAATTATAGAATACAATGGAAGTTTATGTAAGATTTTTAATTCAAACCTGCATTTCTAATTGATTGTCTTATTTGAGAAATTTCAATGCTTATTGAATCTAATACTTTATGGATATATATGTATTTTAAACATAGTCATTTGTAAAGTCTTGTTAGATTCATCTCGATTTTTATTTTTTATTTTTTTTTGGAAACAAATGAATTTATTAATCAAAAGTCATACATCATCTACAAATGAAATCTAAATCAACAAATACATAAAATTGAATTAAATAAGGGTTTCTTTCATCAAAGCTACGATCGTTGAATAAATATTGCACTATGGTACATCTCTCGCACACATTGCTGGAATATACAACTTTTTCAGAGAGACGGTCTAACGATTTGTTGTAGCCGTAAGGATGATTTTCATCTGATTCACTTGAACGCCTTTGAAGATTTGACAATTGTTGCGATTCCGGACAACTCTTTACCAACGAACTGATAATAGGGCAAAAAATGATTACCTTTTTAATAAACCCTAACACAAAAAAAAAAAAAAAAAAAAACGGCGAACGAATATCTACACTACTCGTGTAGATTTATTGAAAACTAAATTGCAAAACTAAAGAAAAAAAAAAGGAAAAAGGGTCGAAAATAATCTAATTTCCTAAGAAATTAGACTATTTTCAGCTTAAACTACCAAGAATTTGAAGACACCCTAGAAGAGAGGAAGAGAGAAGAGGAGAGGCAGAAAGGTTTTAGATTCATCTCGATTTTAAGGAGGGTATTATGTCAATTTCATAGAGTCATACTAATCTCAACATTTTTCATTTTATTTTATGTAAAATTGATATTATTTCCCACTTTCACAATTTTGTCCACGTTGTGTTTCATGCTATTCCTTCCATCCCTATTTTTTTTTCTCATTGCCAAAATATGGGTCAAAATTTAAAAACTTTGACCATAAATTCCCGTTATTCTACAAAAGAAAATATAATCATGTGAGATCTTATTTGTTTCGTCTCATTGTAAATTTAATTAATATCCCTATTCAAAAAAGTTAATATTAATTTTTTAAAATTTTTACGTATATGGGAATGAAGATATAAACGTTTTAACACGTGTGTTAGAGATTGCGCAAAGTCAAATGAGGCAAAAATAAAGGGATGGAGGAAGTAATTGCTAACCCAACGTCTCAAGACTCTCAAAGTCTCAAGTCAAATGAGCTGCCAATTCATTGTTTGGGTCAAGTCCATAATGGGTTGGTTGCTGGTTCATTTGTTGTCCTTCTACAAAACCCCCCCAGAAGGGCCACAACACCCAACTCACCACTCTCCCCTCATTTGGCGAAAACCCTACTCATCTCCGGGAGCTGAGCTGCAGTAAGACCAGCACCAGCAGCGATGGGTGAGCTTCATTATCTCTTTCATTTTCTTAATTTCGTGTCTTTCTTCTAAATTTCAATGTACATTACGTTCTACTTTGAAATTGCTTCATGATTTTGAAGGATTTTCTGTTCTTGATTATTGCATTTTTTATTCATTAAGCTAAAATAATGGTTTTCAATTAGTATTCTGGAATTGGTTCATAATCAGCATGAAACTGACTCAATTCTTTGTATCTTCTGCGTTTAACCGAAACCCTATTTATGTTTGCTAGGGTTAGTGTGACTTTGCTAAATGAAGTGCTTGTGGTAACATATCTTATTTGTCATTGTAATTTTACACAATATATACTCGATGATTATTATTCTGATTATTGATTGAAATTTTGGATTTTGTTTGTAGCTGGATCAAGTTACATTGTTCGAACTTGGAAATGTTATTGAGTCCCTTGCTTAAGCCGCCTCAAGCTCAAATGAGTAATTTGGTGTGTTCAACTCTAAAGAATGATCGAAGAATGGTGGGAATTCAACCATCTGTTATATGAAGTTCAATTAGTGTGTTTTATATGGATTGAGATATTGGAGTAAAAGTAACTGATTGTATTCTTGTAATTATTAGGGATTTGTGGTCTACCGCGTTCGTGTGAGAAGAGGTGGTCATAGGAGGCCGGCGCCAAAGGTATTGTGAATGGTAAGCCAACAAACAAGGGTTTAACTCAGTTGAAGTTCCAGCACAGCAAGAGGTCAGTTGCCAAAGAGCGTGCTGGCCACAAATTGGGTGGCCTTAGGATTCTCAATTCCTACAGGCTCAATGAGGTTTTCCACCTGGTTACCCCATTTTAGCTTCATATGCTAAATATGGTTGGAATTTTTTTATTTTGATTTTTCTTAAAAATTGGGCAAATGATGAGTAATCTTGAGTTCCTATAGTTGTAGCCAACACCACTTTGTGGTAGGAGGCTCACTATAGATGAGTTTGCTTTGAGCAAATGTTGAATGCAGTCTTTCATTTTATAGCTATAGCCTCCCTGCGCTGCGGTTGTTGAGGCTTTGCTAATGATCTTTTGTTTCATAGCAATAGCCACCCCACTTTGTGGTTGTTGTGGCTTTGCTAATGCAGTCTTTAATGTTATAGCTATAGCCACCCTGCTTTGCGGTAGTTGAGGCTTTGCTATAGACTTTGCTGCTGTTGCTAAATTGCTACTACTGTTGTTGTCTTTGTCTTTGTTGTTGTTGTTGTTGTTGATGTTGCTGCTATTCTGTTCTGCTGCTGCTGCTGCTGCTGCTACTGCTGTTCATTATGCCTCTTCCTTCCTATTCATTCCCTTCTCTTTTGACAATTATTTGAGGGTAAAAGAGTTCTAAATTGTCTCAAGATCTGATGCCCATTTTATCATTTCCTTTATACTAATTTTTTTGTTTTTCTAATGAACCTGAGAAAACTAACTGCTAAAATGCAAGACTCTCACGCCTGTCATTCTTCTGCAGAAGTAAACTTTCATGCATTATGGAGTACGGAGAAATCCTTACAACACTGTTCGCAACGCCACAGAAACAACTCGAGAATCAACTGGAATTACAATCCTGTCCACAAGCATAGAGGAGAGCTCTGTGACATATACATTCGCAGGTGAAAATACAGCAGTTTTGGCAGTGGTCAACCTCAAGAACAGGCCATCTTGCAGGGCAAACATGGAACATAAACCAGACCAAATCCTTTCGTCGATACATCTAATTTCGGTTATTTGGCCTTTTTTCGCATCAAATATTGGGTTCTTTTTTAGTCTGTATTGCTACTTAATCTGTAATTAAAGTACTGAATTGTTCAAGTCTATCTTTCTTAAACAGGCAAAACAGCAGTCTAAGACAGATGGTGTATCTAATTCTGGTTGAAATAAAATATTGGAAACTTTCTTCTAGTCCCTTTTCAGATCTTTTGCCTTCTGGAACGAATGTTGTTTGACATTCAACAACTTTGATTGTCTTTTTTTTTTTTTTTTTTTTTTTTTTTTTTTTTTTTTTTGTTTTTTGACAGCTATATAATTGTACAATCTATCTCTTCAATTTAAAAGGCACATCATTGCTGGGTTAACTTATGTTCAACAATCTTGAAGTTAATTTCTTTGGACTACCCCCTCAAGGGAAAATAGTGATTTAGTTGAAGTTCCTAACATGTAGAGCTGTAGAATGTAGATAGAAGAAGTTTGTCCAACAAAGTTTTATAATGTAAGAGCTCAACAACAGTCTTTGTATTACATCTCAATGATAACCTTCCCAAAAAATATCCTATGAAGAGAGAGTTCAAGTGCGTCAGGTCGTAAGCACTCTACAATCTGCCACTAAGGTAATTCTCTTTGAGAGTCTGAAGTGCTTCTCTTATCGAATCTTCATCATGATTAGAGTGCTTCAAGCATATCAGCCTCTGTGCCACACGGTAAAGCATCTGAATGGGATAGTATTGCAATTCATTCACCTCCATCTTCTTAGCTTCCTGCACAAAATAATATTCAAATGTGACTACTAGACAACATAAATCTTTCTGACATATTGAAAGAGTCAAACCATCTTGAGAGGCTAGAGGTTTAGTAAATGTTGATATTAAGAGCGAAAAATGGCTTTACAATGGTCTACTATTGTTAGGTTCTAATTCGATTGCAGAAAAAGAGAGAAATAAACTAGGAACTAGGAAGTATGGAGATCATGAGGATTTGAAAGATTGACCCTCTCTAGCACTTCAAGGTCTGTTAAAAAAAAATATCTTCAAATCATTTGCTAACCTAGAGGAACCTTATGGTCTCCCATTGTTTCATTTTACTAAGTGTCGAAGGGGTCATATGATCCAGTGTTTGGGACTGCAGTTATCTAATCTAATAAGTCGATGTTTTCACCAAAAGAAAACAAAGCATACAAATCGTTTGATACAGAATTATGAAGACTTCATCAACAAGCAATTAGTGCCATCCCCTGGGATCACAGAAAAATTTATTCTCTCCAGCCTATATACTTTCCATAAATAGTTTTAAAATGTGCGAGGATTAACCCTAACGATGTTAGATTATTGGAAATAGAGAAAGATGATTTGGTTAGAATTGTATTTAAGCCAAAGAGGAAAGTTAAGTGATGGAGGCTAAAATAAAGCATTTGAGCCAAAGAGGACAACTGAGGGAGACTGAGAGAGTTCTCAATACATATCACCTGTTCTAAGATTCTAGACGTGATGACTGAGGCTGTCTCGATCACGGATTTAGGAAGTCCTGCTACACCTGCAAGTAGAAGGCCATAGTGGGGAATATGCCGAGGCCCATCCTTCAGTTGAAACTGGCAAGATGAATGAATCAAGTGTTTAGTCACAGAAAAATAAAGAAACATGCCTTTCTGGCCTCTTTTTTTTTTGTTTGAAATTTGTAGATTAGATTGCTACCTTGAAATCCAATCGGTTGTTTCTTATGTCGACATGAAAATGTAGAATTTTCACATTGGGGTAGAGGGTTGCTAAGTCTGACAGATTTTCCATATGAGTGGCAAAAATCGTGTACCTAGAGATCAGCAAAAGAAGCATATGTCAACTTTCCTGGATAAAGCAATGCCAAAAACTTTCTAAACAAAACCTTTATTGGAGCCAGTAGTCTACACTATGCAGACACAGAACAAGTGTAATAAAGGGAATATGGAAGCTAGCAGAATAAGTAGATTCCAAGATAACAGTTCAGCTGCTTACGCTTTCAGAGATAGCAGATGCTCACAGCAGCTCCATGCAACTGCAAATCCATCTGATGAAGAAGTGGCCCTCCCAAGTTCATCCATGACAATTAAACTTCTGCTTGTAAACAACAAAGAACTGTCAATATGACAACTATAAAACATCTTACACCATTAAACCTCACATGTACCTCTGAGAAACATTCTGCAATATAAATGCTGTCTCTCTCATCTCCGTCATGAACTGTAAAACCAAAAAAGATTTATGTAATGACTGTTTCTCTGTAGAAATGAGTAAACTAAAAGTTTCCTTGCACTAATATATATTCTGCTTAAGTAAATAAAATTTACTGAAGAAGTGCATTGCCTTTAACATCTGAAAACTTAACAGGACTTCTGATAGGTCTTTGTTCAGAGGGTATAGGCAATCAGAACCAGGTACAGGGAGCCAGGGTTTCATCATTCCCTGCTTAAATGGTTAAAGAAACCACACCAGCAGTTCAACTAAAAAATTAGCATAGGCACTACGGTGGACAGTGTATCCAGAGGAGGTCTGTCCCAAGTAGGCAACCATTAGAAAAATATGGAAGTTGTCTAGACTCTAGGGTGTAAATGTGTGACAATTTCATAATTCTTTGCTAAACACTGTAGACTTCACTTTCAATGCTTAATAAGTATATTAAAGATCCTTATGGACTATAGCCCCTTTTTTCATATATCATGTAGGCTATGGCGAAGAAGGCCAGGTCTGGTGTCAGGCACACAATATACACACTCTATGGGAATTCAGGCACAAAGTCATTCTATACTTGGCATCTTTTTTTTTTTTTATTTATTTATTTTATTATTATTATTACATCTGTACTCCGTTGCCAGTTAAATAGGCAGTATAGGGCAGAATGTCAGAACATAACTTAGTTTTTCAGAATGTTGGATAGCATAGCATAAAGTAATTTAATCCACTAATCCCATGTCGTGGACTCGTGGAGAGAACATACCGTACTAGAATTGGATTCAAGATTATCTACAGCTCCCATTCGAGTAAATATACGATCAACGACTCTTATAGTGGCAAATCGAGCTGGTATGTAGCAGCCAATTTGAGCAAGGATGACAATAAGACACACTTGTTGGAGGTAAGTGCTTTTGCCACTCCTGAAAAGAAAAATCCTTTATTGCAAGGGTAAACTATGCCGGATCTCTTTGTATAAACAAAAGGGAGCATACTTTTGATGGTATATGTTGAATGGAAAAATTCCAACTCCAAGAAAAAGAGGGAGGGGGGGGGGGGGTGGAGGAGGAGAATTAACCAATATGTTGAATGGTGATTCGATTCATTAGCCACCTTATCACTTCCAAATATAGCCTAGATACCAAGGTTTCTCTATTTTATGTTAGGATAGGTCAATATGAGACAAAAGCAACTACAATTTCTATGTGGATCATGAGCTCTGTACACAATAATCGTTCAGTTATCTTGAGCTTCTATTGATGTCCCAAGGACTGGCAAAGATGAAACACATAAATACTGATAATTTTCAGATTTTACAAAAAAAAAATACTTATGCCATTGTGCTGTACAGATACATACTTCATACATTATAGCACTATGTTGAAAAATAATTAATGGAAGTGTTTCTTACATGTTTGGACCCATAACAATCACCATGTTTGATGCTTCTGAAAGAAAAACATTGTTGGGCTGCCAAAAGAAGAATTGGAGAAAGAAAACTTGTTTAGATATATCTCTTATGCAAGAAGATAATTAAGAAGAATTTCACAAGATAAACACATCTATCTCATACAATAAAGTCACTGTGTATACTCTCAAGGATAGGATGTCTTCCAGCATCAATTGCCAATGGGCCACTATCTGCAAGATGACATGATGTAATTATTGCTGCAGGCACTTAAATGCTTATTGAACAACCTAAAGCTAAGCCAACCATATGAGATTACCTGTAAATCCTGGTCTAATATACCGATCAACTGGCTTGGTTGATATCATGTGAGCAAATGAATTGACAATCATATCCAAAAGGCACAAGACCTCTGCAAGCAAAGTGAGTGCAGATACATCTTCCCTGATGGCATCATTGAGAGCTGTGGTTCAAATGGAACATAATTAAGTTCTCATAGTAGATCTATTGCATTGATATTTAAAAATCTTTATTTCCAATTTTCTGTCGTCAATAAGACACGATGTTTATGTGTGAAACAGTAACTGTAACAATCAATGGGCATAACAAAAATTCAAATTCAGAAAGAAGAAAGAAGGGATAAATATCCAAAAGTACATGCTCAGTTAAAATTATTGAATACTAGTTTTGTAATGACTGAAGCACTAGTTTAAGTAATGCAGTATCAATTATCGAATTTCAGTTAAAAAGGAGAAGAAGAAAAAAATTAAAAAGCTCTGTCCAATTAGGGAATCTAGTACTTGTATATATTTATAGCTTGATTATGAGTTGAGTTCAAGTTAAAGTTATGCTACATTGATCACTAGAGACAGAAAGAGGGGCTTTCACTTTTCACTTTATCCTATAATTGTATTTCCAAATTCCATGCTTACATGTTTCAACTTTCAAGCAAAAAGCCTTGAAGGGTAGCATAAGATAAACTTTACAATAGCAAAGTTGTCAACTAGTTAGACAACACCTGTTACAAAATTATTTTCAAAGAGGAGCATATATTATTACCCTTTTAATTTTTATTTTTTTGATTAGTTATTACCCTTTGATTAAAAGTGGTACAAAACTACTAAAAATTAATGCCTTCTCAATTATCATTAAGTTAGATACAACCTTCCAAGCATAGTTCTGTTCTCACACAACACTCTGCAGCTGCAGACTTGCTTCTGACATTCAGCTGCAGAAGTTACGAGCAATATATATAAAAGACATATAAGTACAAATAAATGAAAAACTTTTACAAATAAATTTAAAGATACAGGTGAAAACAGAATGTGATGGTGTAAATGATGATTATCAAAATGATACTTACAGATGCAAGTTCCAACGTAGAGCAGTGTATATTGTTTCCATGTTTGACAACCTGCTTCTAAAAGTCAGAAACTGTAGGGGTATACAAACACAATATACAGTCAGAATGTTCAAATTCAGAACCTGAATGAACTTGCTGGGAAGCTTTTCTTGAACATCTTTTTGAGGTATGCTGAAGTAAAACCCTTGTCTGTTGTTGAAAGGAAGTTTTAGGTTCGGCAGTTTAAAATCTTCACGATATTTGTTTGTTAGCTTATGTATTGCTGTCAGGCACGAGAAAATTTATATGGTGAAAAAGTGGATAGACTTCCTATAAGTATTAAGTCATAAAAAGGTGTTCCCAGACAAATAAAGCAAATAATACCTTCACTAGTGTCACAAAATGTCCTCCTAGCAACATCAAGCAGCCCATCAATACCAGCCTTGACAGCAAAGCATTGTTGTGTTCGAGCAATAAAAGGAACCCTTGCATGGACTACATCTTCATCTATTACTTCTCCTATTCTGCAAGACAATTTGGTTTTTCGAAATAGATTTAGCCAAATAAAATCAAGTGTTTTCTCTTAGTTTTGGGAAAATATACTAAATTGCAGAAAATGCACAAGTAGCTTGTGGAAAAATTTGTGTTCGTTGACTTTTAATCAAAGGCTTCGTTTTAGCCATACAGACTGATATAAGGCTAGAAACACAAAGATTAGTTTCTTCAAGGCTGCTGTCTACTAGTAAGTTGCAAAAGGTTGACAGGATGTTGCAATGCCAGAACAAGAAAACAAATAGAGCTGAAAAAGTGACTAATCAGAAGCATCCTAAGAACATAGCATGTCAGTTAGTATATGAGTGAATAACAACCTACATAGGCATTGGTTTTAGTCTGATTTGTCAATGGAAATGCACATAATTCAGTGTAATCTCATAGCAGTTGATACAGAGATTTTCATGATACGAAAAGAAATTTACATAAATTACATTTAGCAGACGAGAATTTGGAATACCTTTGTTTGATGAGTGCATATTTCTCATTTTCACAAATAGATTTGTAGATATTTCCAAGAAGAAAGCTTTTTGCATCTTTTAGCACCTGAAGCAATGCAAGGATTATCAGCAGTTGGGCTGTGATAAATGGAATAGAAGTGCACATGTTTTGTTAATTATCAAAGCAGTGAAATATACCTTGGACAGTAGAGGCAAGGCATCTAAAGCAGTTTTGAGAAGTATAATGCTTGATATTATTATTTGGCTCTTTCTAGCACCGTCACCAGCCAAGACTTTGTTTGTGACCTTTGGCTTGAAGCAAAAGTGACATAATACTCTATCTGAATATAGAAATCAAAGGCATTTGCAACTGTTAACTAACATATGAGCAAATAATATATATGTGAAACCCTTCGGTTTTCCTGCTCTTCTTTTCCATACCAGTTTCTTTTGGAAATTTGCGGAGAACCTGAGATAGTCCAAAGAAAAGCTGTTCATTGCTCATTAATTCATCCTGTATGTAAATCGTGGAAAAAGATCTTTTTGTCAACTATAAGCTTCAGGGGACTCAGTCCACAAGAAAAGAGTAATGATGAAACTGTCATGAGGTAAATGAACTCATTTAAAAAACAGGACGACCAAACTCATGCACAATCAGGTAGGAAATAGGATGACAAATCGGCTCAACCTAGTCAATACAGCCATAGAACAGTAGAAGATACTAGAGCAGTCAAGGACATTGTTAGATACTTTTGGGGTGTAAATCTTGCAATGGTGCATGTAGTTTTCAAAACTAAAGTAGCAGTCACCCCCAAAATTTGAGGAACATTTGTAATCTTTGACAAAACCTCAATAAAAAATAATTTTCAATGAATTCTAAGTGGCCCTATTAATTAGATAATATGAGATCTAGGGTTTGAAACAAGGGTATGGTTCACTATATATAATCATAAACAACCATAAAGGTCAGTTTAACCCATCATTTACCTCAAGGTTCCCCAAAAAGGTATAGAATCTAAACCAACACTTCACATTTCTCCTAAATTCTTAATCCCTTTGCACCCGATTAATTTGGACACTTTCCTTTTTATTTGCACCAAATTAGTTAGAACACTTAATTTTTTTTGGAAAGTACCGCCAATTGTTTTATCATGTCATCTCTCCTTTTGGACCTACTAATTCCTTTTATGCCTGCATTACTATTTAAAAAATGATACAATCATCAATAACTTAATACTAAAACAGACACCGGGAGTGACACGTGTCACATCCTGGTTCTGTTTTTTCCCTCCAAAACTCCCCTTCCCTTTTAGCCAAAATAATTTTGTAGAATATTTGTACAATTCAACTATAATAATTTTATTCCAAATCTTTTATAAATATTATTTTTTATTTGGTATTTTTTTATTCTTACATACACATTTACCTAAAATATTTCCAATTCTTGTATAATTATCTTTTATAAGGAGTATTAGATTTTGCCAAAAATTTAATATCCTTTCATTACCTTTTTTTCAATATTCATTTACTAACTTTGCCCGTTATTTTTTAGTAACGTATAAAATATCAATTTTATTATAAAATAACGGGACATGCATACAAAATTCACATTAGAATTACCGTTACATTAAAATAACGTATAGTGGGGATCGTCGGAGAAAAAAAAAAAAAAAAAAAACATTTCTATTCATATTATTGATTTGAAATCTTATGAAACAATAATAATTGAATTAATTTTCAGTAAAATATTAATGTAATTTTACCAACTTCTATTTTTTTTTTTAATTAAGGTTTTCTTTAAAAAAAATTTCCAAAAAAAAAATTGATAACGACATAGATAAAACTTCGTGAAATATGAGATAAAAAATAAAACAGTAAAAATAACAAAGGAGAAAGAATTTTTAGATTTCCTCAATAATGTGCATGCTCTAATAAAGGGTCTGTTGTGTTCACCTTATTTTCACTTATTTCAGGTCTAATAAGTTCATTTAAGTTCAGATAAGTTAATATAAGTTCAGATAAGTTAAGTTCATGAAAAATAAGTTATGATAAGGGTTACCAAGGTTCAAATTACGACTAAAATAAGTTTTAATAAGTTCCAGATAAATTAAGTTAAATTCAGATAATTAAGTTAAGATAAGTTAAGTTAAGTTCAATTAATTCAGATAAATTCAGATAAGTGAAAATCAGGTAAATAGAATACACCCGAAGTACAAATTGTTGTACAATTAGTTTTATCTAAAATATGAGTTCATACATTAAACTTTTGCTTTGCCTTTTGATATAGATTTATGACAATGTACTTTCTATAGGTTTGATATGTATGTTATATCAAATTTTGTTTGTTAGATTTTATTATTTTCTTTAAGAAAAATAGACTTATCGTGCATGACACGGGGCCTAAACTAGTACTCTCACTAAATCTCGTCACATCTACTTTCTTACTTCCTCCGTTCTAGTAATATTGCAATAACTGGACTTTTACACTATTCATCATGCTTATTTGACCACAAATTATGATTTATATGTAAAGTAAATATAGTCATGTCATGTGGGGTCTTGTTAGATTCGTCTCGTAAAATACTTTCACAATATCAACTTTTTGTAATTTTTACAATTATATAATTATAGATATTTAACATATAAAATGTGCTTTGGGATGCATAATTTCATCCTTTGTTGCAATATTTGTGGAACAGAGGAAGTATAAAATAACACAGCCACAACTAATTTCCTAGAACTCTAAGTATTGATAAGTGTTCAAACTAATGCGGGATGGTGGGAGTAAATCATCAACCAGACAACCACATATCAATAGAGAAAAGAAGAAACTATTAAACGACGTCAAAAACAGAAAAATCTGCGATATGTGCTCACAATTGGGCTTGAGAGGCAAACAAGTTAGCCCAAGATAAGTATGCATAAATTTAAGAGAATCAAAAAATGTATTTTATGAATGTTGTATCCCCATTCTTGAGTCCAACATTAGAATGGTATGTATCCTCGTGTCTTAACACTTGAATATGTTTTGTACTAGGATTTAGAAAATTTAACAAGCCGATTTCCAAAGACAAGCATCTAACACTAACCAGGCAATCTAGGCGAGCATTTATAGTTTCAATATCTTTCAGAGGCTGCAGAAGATTAGCACGGAGTAATCTAGTGCTGAGAACAATACAGAACATAAGGACAGATAAACAGGAAAATAATAGAAGTTCATGATTAAATTGTATGTATAGAATGAAATTACATTAGATCTTTTGAACTTTGGAGATGCAAGGAACAGCCAATATTGTTTTTAGCCAATATTGAACCTTTCATTTGCACAGTAACATATTTTTTTTTAGCAGAATACTATATCATAATTGATTGAAATTTCAAGATTCAAATAAGTAATCAACACATAAATAATTCCTACAGGAAAAGAGCTCTCTAATTAGCTACTCATGCTAGCCTTTTGAGCTACAGATTCATAATCCTTTTCAGATCCATGCTTCATGGAAGAAATAGGTCACTGCCTTATATATTCATAATCCTTTTCAGATCCATGCTTCATGGAAGAAATAGGTCACTGCCTTATATATATATATAAAACTGTAAGTAAATCAATAGTAGCAGTTCTACGGTCTATTAAATCTATCATTTTCTGATCTAAATATTTGAGAACAGTATAATTAACATGATAGAGACTGGGAGTAAATCAATAGTAGCAGTTCTACGGTCTATTGAATCTATTCACTTTCTGATCATCTTCAAAACAGTTAAAGGTAGAAAGTCCTAGAAATTTCACTATTAATATTAAAAGGGGAAATTGGGCAGAAGATGTTAATATTGTTGATCACACACTGAATGGACCAGCAAAATTATTGAAAGCGTACCCCCCTGTGGTTCTAGTTGTTTTAAGCATATGGAAGATACTTTTCTTCTTGTTGTTTGTGCCCCAAAGATTGGAATGCAATGGCTCGATGAGTTCCAAGTTTTGCACACTGTAAAAAAAAGCAAGAAATTAATGTTTCTAATGACACTTATCTCAGCATAAAGGGGCAGTGCCAATAGACATTCATCTCTGATACCATGATGGATAGATAGAATGCTCTTGATCAGAGTCCAAAAAACAAATGTTCATCCTCAACAATCTTGCCTTTTGCAGTTAGCTCCCAGACATAGAATTCTGAGACACTCAGGAAGCCTTTGAGGAATCAATCAATGTCAGTGTTTTATATAGCTTCATTACATTTACAGAGATCAGAGATGGCCATCCCAATTAGTTAGATTTTCATGTATAGTCAATGTAGTTATTAATGTACATGCACTGTCTTAACAAGGAATGAAGTTTTATTAGAGATTCAAGAAGGTACCTAGTAGCATCAATATTCATATGATCAAATGACCCATTAAAAGTGACCTGAAAAGTTAGAAGGATGTGAAAGTTGAGATTATCCACAACAAATGAGAAAGTTGAACTATGAGTGGAATGTGCAATATTGTGAAGCATTGAGAAAGAAAGAAAAATTTGCCTCTCATGATGAATCTAAACAGGCTCTAGGAGCATTAAATGTTGATCCTTTAACTTTTGAAAGTTTGATATGTACAAAGGTTGAAGAGAATTATATGGAAAATTGCAAAAAAGTTGGATTTTCTTGAACAAAGATATGCAATTGACTTGTGCTATAATTATAATGAAGGAAAAAAAAAAACAATTGGAACATAAAGAAAGCAAGGCATACCAATAATGAATGATTAGTTATAACAACCCCTTTTTCTGCTTCTGTCCTGCACATCATCAATATATATAGTTTATAATCCTTGATTCCTTGACTTAGCCCTTCTAAGGAACATCAATTCGTATAAATGCATGAACAAACAGTTGTACATGTTCCATATCAACAACTTATTCACAGCAATGAGCTTAGGTTCCTTCAAAAACACATTCCAAGTCTCCAGGAGAGTGATCGTTAATAATATAAACAAAAATGGAAGATTATATACTTTGAAATCTTGATTTGATTATTGAAGAAGCTATAAAATCTTTCATAAACGATAGGAGGAGCATTTGAAATTACCATCTAATAGTAGCAGCTGCTGCAGCCAAGCAAAGATTATATTGCTTGTAGTAACTATCAAGACCAAGGGCCGAGGGTTCCTTTGCAGCCAAATTCTTGACCAAGACAGCTCCCTGACCATAAAGGTGTCATCAGAAAAAGATACTTAACATAGAACATCAATATCAATTAGCTAGTTATCTCAATTGAACTTTTGATTTTGGAGTAAGATTGTTCAACCTTGGTGTCATCAAAGCAGCCACGTGCCATTATTACCTGCAAAAAAGCACATTTTTGTTTGTTGAGATGCCACACGCCCACACCAAAAAACAAAAATTGTGCAGTAGATATGAAAAGGGCTATCACCTTCTTGCTTGCAGAGTAATATCTGTCTACTATTACTGATACTCCAACCATACTATCAGGAGCCAGCTTGCTAGGAGGAACAATAATTGACATTGGGTCATAAAATTGCAACAAGGTCTTGGTATTTTGGTAAGAACTACTGGTTTCAATGTACTGGGAAAGGTGAAGTGAAGCAGATCTTAAGTCCAAAGCCGCAACACCAACCTGTCCAAACAAATATTAGCACTCTCTTCACACGACTTATCAAATTTAGCAGATCTCATTAAAACTCAAACTATATACCTTGATGAGCCCCTTAAATCCTTGGAAATTGACAAATTAGTATATTACCCAAGTTTTTATTCTGACAGCAGCAATTAGATTTTGTTAAAATCAACAAAGTCCCCCATACCTCCCCCCCCCCCCCCCCAACCCCCATTTGAGGAGAAGATAAGGTAAAATCAGCCTAGAAGATCCTTAAAGAGCAGTCCAACAAAAGCTTCGTTACACACAACAAAAAATCTTATTACAATCACCAATACAACAAAATTGAAATCCTGAAGAGTAAGGTCTTCCCAAAAAAAAATAAAAAAATAAAATAAACACCATAGATGAGGCAAATGAACAGCTGCAGAAAACTTATCGCTTCTCCCGTGAAGAACTTTTGGCTATATTGAATTGGTAAATTTACTATTCCACTTAAGTGACTTAACTATCAAATTAAATGCAATTACATAGTCAATATTTCTTCGTTTCAAAAAAATTTAAGCAAAATGATGAAATCTTAGTTCAATATCTATATTCTTATTCACCTGAAAAACCACATGTAAATATGTAATCACAGAATAAACTATTTGTACAAAAAAAAAATAAAAAATAAATAAATAAATAAATAAATTATACACATGATTTGATATAAAATTTCTCCATGTGAAAGTGCTCCAATGAGTGAGAAGTATAGTGTGCATTAAAGTTCGCATTCATCTTCGAAAATTTCATGATTCAGCTCTCTCAGACATTGAGGAACTTATTAAAGTGAATGCGCTAACGCTAACTTTAGGAACAATTTCTAACACTTGCTATTGCATGCATACTGGTCACATTGAAAAAATTTGAAAACAAATCCTTCAGAAATAGAAGTATTAGTACACAATGAAGTTTGCTTTCATCATCAAAAATTGTCATAATTCATTTCTCGTAGAAATTGAGAAACTAATCTAAGTGAATGCTAACAATTACAACGAATTCAAACACTTGCAGTCGCATTCATTCAGGTGGCAATCAAAATTGTCAAAAAAAAATTGTTCGGAGGCTTTCCTAAAATGGCAATTGAACAAATGTGATCTTCAAATTGTTCAAATTCGACGATTATCAAAACCTAATTCATCATAATTTACAACAGCCAAAAATTGCAGATTATTGAAGAAGAAATTTGCCGAAAATTCAATAAAAGTAGAGGAGAGAGAGACTAATACCTCTTTGGCTCTGTTTTCAATGATGCCGATGACGAAGCTCGATTTCTCTCCATCATCCTCCATTGTCACGAGTTAGAGTTCCTTTGCTTCAAATTTTTCTCAACTGCGATTTTTAAATGCGCGCGAGGCGTTCCGAGTAGGACTTATGCTTCTGCTCCCTCCTGTTTTTTAAGAAAAAGGATATAAAGGTGGTTACTCACGTCTCTCACGTGACACGGTGTTTTAAAAAATGGATTGGAATTAGACAAGGTGAAAAGAAAACTTGTACTCGGTAATTAGGGTTTGTTTGGCATTGTTTAGATTTTCTATTTTTTTTTGGTTTTTTTAATTTCAAAATCATATGATATATGTCATATAATAAATAAAAAATTAGTCAAACTTATTAAAATCCTAATAACTTAGAAAACTGACAACAAAAAAGTGGAAACGTCTTTTTCTTGTTTCCTGTTTTTGGTTTTTGGTTTTTAAAAAAACAGAAAACTAAAAACAAAAAACAATGTCAAACAAGCCCTAAGGTAATACTTGCATAGTTGTATGATATTCAAGTGCGTGGGTTGGGTTTGATGAGGACAGGTCGGGTCGGATTTATTTCAAAACTGAGTCATGATAAATATTGTTTCTATGCAAGTTGGAATCTGAATTCAGTTTTCAAATTGGATAGGATCTAATTGGTTGGGTTAGTTTTGACACTTCCGGTAAAAAAATAAGATCATAAATGCTATATAGCGTGTCAAGGTTATTAGATAAATTCAAAATGTGTTAGCTGACAGTGTGTACTCTTAGTATAAATGGATTAATGGGTTGGTATCTTAGTATATCAATCTTAAATTCTCTTTATTTTCCATTTATAACAATGGTTAGTTCCGAGTAGAACATTATTATGTTAAAAATTTAAGGGAATAAAATTAGCTAATAATATATCTGTTAGGTTAGGAGTCCAACACTAACCCATGATCAAAATCATCATACAAACATGGACAAATTTGGTGACAACTAACAACTCCTGAAGATATGATTTGTCAAATAGAGATTGAGGTACTTGATATTACACACTGATATAGACAATAACATTCAAAAGTTGCAATTGCTTGAAATAATATACTATACAGTTTAAATAATACTTCGTAATTTCTTAATAACATTCTGAGATTTACAAAGGCACTTCTTACTAATGTTACAGAAAAAAGAGGCCGATAGGAGCGTATTAAAACACTCTCCCGGACTATACAGACAGATGAGGTGATGATTATTCAGCAACCTCAGAACCTTTTAAGACCTCTTCCATTGTAACAAACCTACCCTGCTCAATTGAAACCTGTGCAGCAACTCCAATAGCAACCGAAATCAACCCGTCTATTAAATCCACCTCAGGCGCCTGGGTGCCTTTGTTCCTAATGGCATGCAAAAAGTTTAGGTGCTCTAAGAAACTTGAACCATGATGTAATCCATCATATCTGCAATGTAATGTAATATAATGTAATTAGAGAAGCACTATTTTACTAACATTGGTCATCATATCTTGAAGCAATAGGATTTAGAGAAAGAGTGGTTTACTTTATTCGTTCATCTATTGTTTGTATAGTTTGCACACCATTCCTCCCCGCTTCTCGAGTGCCAAACCTCACAATGCCCTCTGGAACAAAGGCCTCGCCCTGAAATGAGATTTTCAAGGATTCATGAGTATTAAAACAAAACCTCAACATGCCACTTCTGGTTTTTCGAGGATTGTGTGGAAATAAATCAACAAATTGGATATGCTATGGAGTCGATTTAACAATTAGGTTTCACCTTTCCTACATCCCCAACTACAGATATTTCTTGCTCATTTTTGCTTCCTTCGGCAAACATGCACAGGTCAAGCATGCCCCGTGAGCCATTGTCAAACTCCACAATAACATATGCGTTGTCAATGATATCAGGTACCTGTCTCAAAAGCAACCACATTGTTATGGACTCCACATTGCAACTTTTTGCCAAGAATGATTTTAAGTGAACTCGGATCTGAATACTAGAATGTGCAGAAAATTAATTTATTTAATTTCTTAAAAGGCGTTTCTGAAAAGACTCAAGTGGCGGACCTTTTTACCAATTTTAATGACCATTCTGACTGATGTAGACTTAATTATGAGTCCACTTAATGCATTACCTTCTGTTTGTTCCTCATAGTCAGACGTTGCAAACATCAGTCTTCTCATTTATTTGATATCATTGTAATATTGTACTTTGCAATTTTGCATTAATAAATTAGATGTATAAGCAACTTCACTGAGCAAAATTACTACCTTTCCATCATAAACTTCATTCTTGTGATTAACATCCATGGCACCAGAAGCCATCACACGAACAGGATTTGCACCCACAATTAATCTCATGAGATCAAAGAAATGACAACATTTCTCCACTAGAGTCCCTCCGCTGTTAGCATTGAATCGATTCCAGTTGTTGACCTATATGTGATCGATAAACAGGATAGAAAACCAGGGATTACAGATTTACAGCGAGTGCCTGATTGGTTCATAAAAATTGTAGCATTACTAACCTTAACCAAGAAAGGAAATCTGTGCTCTCTTATTGCCACCATTCTGATTGGACCTACTTCTCCTCCCTTAACTATTTCTATCAACTTGGCAACCGGTGGCATGTATCTGTACTCTAAACCCACTTGCACCATTATATCTGGTCTTTCCTTGGCAGCATCTACTACCTGAAAAATAAAGCTTCGATTATGAGTATCCTTTGACTTGACTAATTCCAACCATACCCATGATGAAAACTTGAAACACCCCAACAGAATATGAGTACAAAATATATGTCAGATCTTTCATCTATGGACTCAGATATGGCTACCTGTATTTAAAACCAGTGTCCTAAACTTGCAGAATTAGCCTATAAAACACTCAAATGCATACCCATACTTCAATCAAGTAATATGGACTGTACAAAAAATAAACATGAAAACAGATGAAAGCATTATCATGCAACATATAAGTCCAAAAGTACATAAAACAATCTTTATACATAATCAATCTGCATGAGCTATATATATATGATCATCCTTAATTAAACTCCAAAGTAGACAAGGACCAGAAAGAGTTTTGGACACAAGGGACGGAATGCTGCACGCAGATATCTTATGGTTTCAGTCTGACTTTCTAGTGTTTGCTTGTCAATGATTACTTAATAAGGAATACCATCGGGTGGGATAAGGAGTAAGGTTTAAGAACTTATAACCCCTGTATTGGCTCTATCACCATGTACAATAACAGTTCAACACAACAATGCTACATCCATTGTTGAGGATCCAAATTTCTGAACCAACTTTTTCTGATCTATTGTATCTACTACAATTGCAGTTAGATGTAAAGCAAAAGAGCTAATGTGAGGGTTCCTCATGTTACTCAACTCATGTGATGCAGTTTGGGCATAAAATTCTTCCTTTAAGGTTGCCCATGATGTTGTGAAAGTCAATATTGGATAATGGTACAACCAACTACAGAAGTATTACACTATTCATTGAGGGACAATGTAGCAGCAGAGAAATTCAAGGAAATTGAAAGAAAACCTAGTTCAGCTTTTCTGGCATTTCAAATTTGCCTCACTATGTGGAAAACAATCAAATACAGTTAAGTACAACATGCATTCCTTTCCATAACTAGAGCCGGCTCAAAGGCATGAGCTCCATAATCTTCGTAAACAAGCTAAGTAAATTCTTTCAACAACTTTAATCTAGAAAATCAGAGTAAAGTAAATTGAATAGCAACTGTATTCCTTCCAATGAATTTATGACAAAATTGAAAGATTCATTGTACATACGAGTTCTACACTATAATTTTTTTTCGTTAAAATCGTGCATCGCACAGGATCATCTAGTTTCTAATATTATACAACTTGATTGCCAATTTGCCAGCACTAAACCTCATAATAGTATAATCATAAATTCATGATAAATCAAAGCAATTATACAAAAAAAAACCAAAAATATAATGCAGAAAACTTTGTTACTCGTACTCTTAATTCATTTCAAGTTTAATGTTGGATTCCCAATACTTTACATGGATAAAATTCATGTAAAATTTTCGCAGAATTGGCAACTTGGCAAGTCGGAGACTTAAACATTACCCATATCCGATACAAGTACCCGTGTCCGGGCAATGTAGATTAGAAACATACCTGTTGGCAATGGGGGACAGTGGTACAAAGAGGCTTCTCAACAAGAACATGATGAGGCTTAGGATGAGCAATAATATCCATAAGAATTTGATAATGGGTCATATTTGGAGATGAAACTATCACAACATCACACAAACCACTATCCAACATCTCCTTATGCCCTGAAAACACCTTCAATCCCAACAACACCCATTAAAATTGAACCAAACAGCAATCAAACTCAAACATTATTTTAACATTGTAGCAAAATTAGAAGTGAAAATTATACCTGAAGGGGCCAATTGAAGGAGTGAGCAAGATCAAGGGCGGAATCAAGGGAAGGAGGGTGAGGGTCGGCGGCGCAGACGACGGAGACGGCGTGATCGCGGAGGTGGTAGAGGTTGATAAGGTGTTCTCTTCCCATCATTCCAACTCCTATTATCCCGTACTTTACTACTGTCTTCTCCTCTTGCTCTGATGCTGCTGCTGCTGCTGCCGCCATTGTTGTTGAGGAAAGATCGTGAGATTTGTGACTGTGGGAGTATTCAGTTCAAATGGAAATTCTGTGGGTGAATTTGGCGTTTTGGTGGATAATGGTCAAGTGGGAGTTGGGTAGAGTTTGTAAATTGTAACTGGATGAGAGAATTGTTACTTACGTGGGTTGGGAACTTGGGATTGGATATGTTATTAACTTTAAGATGACACTTGGTCGGGTTACTACTTTATGAATTTAAGATGACACTTGGCGGGGCTAGTTTAAAGCACGTCTAATTGGATCTAAGCAAAAGACAACCCAATGCAATAGTTATAGTGGTTCATGTACCATGCTTGACTTTTTTATTTTGTATTTGGGCATAATCCAACCCATGTCACGAAATTAATCGATTGTGCACGTGTGTGAAACCTTTTTTCTATGTTGTGGTTAGTCAAGCCTTAAGGCATATCTCTCCCATCACGAAAGCCTTTTTTCTA